TTATCTACTGGTGCTGGCTGTTGTTCTTCCATACGTATCAAACAATCATTGAAATTGAAAACGTCATTAGTGATTTCTTCAACATTTTCAACATCTCTTTACGTACTTACACAGCACCAAGTCGCTTCTATTTTAAGATATTAATTTTTTTCACGGCGATTCGCTTTATGCGATCGTTTTTTCATTTATTCGAGGCGATATCCTGGCAAACGTCGGAAAAATGGAGACACCCAATTTTACCACGCGATTTTCACGTATCTGTTTGTTTAAATCGATTTTTTTAAACAAATAGGCATAATATTAAAGTTTAGACTTGAAACTATATTTTTTAGGTACTTTGAGCCACTCGAAAGAGAAAATTACTTTTGGTACTTTACTCTAAAATGCATATTTCCCGAGTTAAAAGCGATTCAAAGTACAAAAAACCGTTAATTTTACAATTTAACTGGTGCAGATACGGTTTTTTACCAAAACTCGTTACAGCAATGCCTTCGGCTCGTGCTATAATCCCTCTTTTTTCTAAAAAACCATACACCCATTAAGAAGTATACTATTCCGAGCTGGTCAAAGTTTTTATTAATCTTTGAACACTTCTCTATCAAGTCACATTTTTTTTAGAGCTTTTAGTAATAAAGCAATTTTACCACGCAATTAACTATATGAGCTCTTTCCCAGCGTACAACATTGCCATGTCATTACCATTGACAACTTGATAAAGGGATGTTCAAAAATTAATAAAAACCCTCTGGTCAAATCGAAAACACTGTTTTTTTATGTTGTTACACACGATTGAAAATTGCAAAGTTAGCGCTTTTTTTTACTTTTAATCACTTTTAACTCGGATAATATACATTTTAGAGAAAATTTCCAGAAAATATAGTTTCAAGCCTAAATTTTTATATTAATCCTATTTGTTTGAAAAATTGATTAAAGCAAATTGGTGCGTGAAAGTCATGTAACAAAATTAAGTTCACCATTGCAGGCGTACTTACGAAGGGAATGGTGAAAAAATGGTCCAGTACTTTATTTTTTCGACGTTTGCGAGAATATCGCCACGACTAATATCTATTTGTGTGCGCGGAGTCGTAACGTACGTTATACTGACTATCTTCAGAAAATAAATGCGTGGGCGGAAGTGAAAAAAGTATACAAGGGACAGCTGATTCGACTGATCAACTCGCGCAAGCATACTATATATTATATTACGCGCGTAAATGAGTTTTTGTTCAAAATATGTAAAAGTCAGAATCCATTTGAAAAGTTTTTGAACGACAAATAAAAGTTATATATATTTTGCGCTGGTGCATAATTAAATTATAGAATTTTCGATCTTCATCGAATTTTTTAAATTCATTTGCGATTGTGATTAAAACATACACATGATGAGAATTAGTTGGTGTGTATAGAATAGAAATGTGACACTGTAATAAATGATACGCTGAGGTACTACAGAGTTGCATTATTTTCAATAATCCGATCAAAAGTTCTAATATTAAAAAAGATTTCAAAAAGATTAATTTTCCTGAAAAATAGATTCGAACTGTCGGCACACTCGTCAAGTGAAAAGAATGTTTTTATCACAGCGTGTGGGAAATAAAAACTTCCCGCAACTTGTGATAAAAATAATGTACTATTTTGCGATTCTGCAACCAAAAAAGCGTTTTCTTTTTTTAATAATCGCTCATATAAATGTATTGTTTCTGCCAAGTTAAATACACACATATACAACTAATAATCATAAAAACGATGCCGATAATGATGATGGTGTTTGCTGGCTCGCGCTGGCACGTTTTCATTTATATATTCATATTCATACGTAGTTATACGTGAATCATCGCTTAAGATAAAAAAAAAATAATTTTTCTTAATGGAGTTTACGAGCAGCAAAAGATCGATACTAGAAAAAAGAGTAAGCGACGAAGCCGATCCGACGTCTCAATTGTACGCATATAGTTTCGCTCCGGCTTTTTGTTACGCGCGGCACAAATTAAATTAGCATGAATTTCGTATTATAAGAGGAAGAGCGAGAGAGATATTATCGAAATGTCAATATTACAAAATATATACAACGAGCTTTGGAGCAATAATACAACCGACTCGGTTATCAATTAGTAATTCTATTAATTAACTCTCTCTCTCTATCTATCTATCTATTAATTTTTCTCTTGCTGTTCGATCGTCGTAAGTTTACCAAAGAGGTCGATGATTTTTGCCGCATCTGTACTACAGATACACACGCGCATGCACGATTATTCGTTTTTTTTTGTCTCCCTCTTACTTCATTGCGTCGTTGCGCAATAGAGCTGTAATCCCGAAAAAAAAAAGTTTAAAAACTCACGAGTCGGAGCGATCGAGGTGTATATTATTCATCGTGTGTGTGTACGACGACACTAATACATTGTGTACACATAATACCGCAATTATACGAGTTTGTACCTTCGCATATATAATGTTATATCTCCGTGCGGTAAAAAAAGATGCATAGAGAGGAAGGGAGAGAGAGAGGTAGAGGTGACAAAAGGAAGAAAAAAATAAAACGTCAGCGAGCGAGTTAACGACCGGAACTGCGATCGCTAACTGTACGTACGTATGTATATATACGTATGCGTGTGTTTCTACCGTCAAAGTCAAAGTCCACACACGCGCGCGCGCGCACGCGTACAATAATATAGAGGATAACAATCGAAATATATCACACATATACACGTATATATATCTAAGGCATCAGTGCACGCGAGTGAATAGCGGAACCACGATGAGTTGCATGGACGCTGTCTATTTTTCTTCTTGCTATAGAGTGTGTGTGTGTGTGTGTGTGTGTGTGTGTGTGTACGAATGTAAGGTACAAGATAGGTGTTCGGTAGCGAGACGAGACACACGAGTTGCCGTGCAAGAGCGACAAAACAAAAAAAAAGAAAAAAAAAAGAAAAACTTGGCTCGAGGAATGACAGTCGTCGTCGTCGTCGTGCGGTATAGAGCGCGCGATTACGAATGCACAGCCGCAGACTACGACTGCATGAGCAGTATGCAGCAGTATATATGAGCAGTGGCTCTCCGGTAATATATATGCAGCCAGTTGCGACGGTGGCACACATATATATATATATTTTTTTTGTTCAATTCTGAGCGCAGTCAAAGCGACATAAGAGCAAGAGAGAGAGAGAGAGAGAGAGAGAGTTGCAGCGGCGCGTGCATAACGATTGAAAGAGAAGCAAAAATAATCGCCGATTGAGAATTTCACCGGCGAATTTGCGACCAATTTGTATATATATATATCATTACGAGCGCCGGTGTACATCGCTTAATAACGATCAGCGAGCGATTTTCTCGCGGAGATGCGGCCTCGGCTCGCCGCGCGAGAAAGCGCGTATTAGCCCTTATGCGCGCGTATGCATAAATTGAACGGGAATCACACAGTTTCGACATGAATCGCGCTCGGCTACGTTATACCTACTCCCCCTCCGCTCACGAAAATGTGCGTGCGTATATGTATGTTGCGCCGAAGAAGAAGCGCGCATGAGTACGAGGCAACGCACGTTGAACACACAGTCGGTTGGTCCGCGTGGTGGCTTTATATTGTCGCGCGCCGCCGCCGCGCTTATCCCTTATGTATTTTTGTGGGTCAAACTCCACTCGGTGCGCGGCATGTACATATAATAATCGCGGCGAACGACGTTTTGCGTTTCGATGCGCGTATTATATACCGTGTCTCGAAAGCTCGCGCGACCCGAAATCGACGCGCGTATCATCGTCGTCGTCGTCGTCGTATAAGCGCTTTTATCGGACGTATATACGAGACGCTTTTTTTTCTAAATTCGCGCGCAGCTGCGCTAAATTATCGCTCGATCATCGTGCCACGTGATTATTATTATTATTATTATTATTTTTCGCTTCGCTCATTGCTTCTCGAGCTCGATTTCACCGCTGTCGTTACGCGGCCGCGCAGTTTCTTACAGGGCCCCCTCTATACATATAGTAGCACCGTTGAAAAATCGTCAAAGTCAATCAGGCTGTATAAACGGGGGCCTTCACGGATAAAGCGCGATTTTCACTCGATATACACGGACCGATCGATCGTTCGATCGATCGATCGCATCGTGTGATCCTGCACACGATATAGCGGATCGATGCGGTCTATTATGGATACAGCGGCAATTGGCAATTTTCACCTTATATAGGCGAGGATAATAATAATTGTCGTCGTCGTCGTCGTCGTCGTCGTCGTGGCTCTATATATAGACTTATGTATACACAGGCGCGAGTGCACCGTGTTTTCGATTGACTCTCTTTTATAGTGTATATAATAGAGGCTGCACTCGGTGCTGCATTTTGTTCGGCTAGCTGCCGCTATAACTGCGCATTTGTTGTTTTTTTTTTTTTTTTTCAACTAGTCAGTCTCTCTCTCTCTCTCTCTCTCTTTCTCTCTCTCGGTCGCGCGTCAGCTATATCGCACATAAACTTTCACGGTGCTGCTCAGTATAGCAAAAAAATTGAGAGAGAGAGAGAAAAAAAGACAGGAGTTCCTCCCAGTAGTAGTAGGCCGCTGCGCAGTGCAGCACCGTGTACGAATTACGCGAATTCTGCTCTCTTTACTCTCGCTCGGCGCACCGACTACATATTATATACAGTATATACGACGGCACTTGATATTTTCTCGCGCGCAAACTTTTCTGCTGCTATGCTAATGTTTGCTTCAGTCACACTCGCTGCGACATATATGATACGCGCGTGTACCGCTATTGAGTCTTATGCCGATTGCCAAAACGATCGCGAGCAAATCGGTAACACACACACACACACACGTACGCGCACTTGTACGAAATACATAGTCGCGAGCGAGCTTATCTCTCCGCATGTGTATAATAATACAATATGTAACAAGCAACGAGGCGCAAGCAGTCAATGATAAAAAGCTCTCTCTTGGCTGCCTCGATAGGTATATCGTGTTATACGTCTCGCATGTTTCTGTGTGTATGTGTCTATATACGCAGACATGTGCGGGTGCCTCTTGCTCGTAGTATACACGAGCAGCAGCGGTGGTGTCGGCGTAGGAGGAGGAGGAGGAGGAGTAGTAGTAGGGGAGCTCCGCGCAAAAGCTGCGGAGTGGAGGCGCAAAGTGCGATATATAGGCAGAGAGTTCGCCGTGCCACACTGCTGCTAACTCTATAATACGCACACGGCACAAACGAATGATAGCAGGCCCCGCGCGTAATGAGCATTAGTAGTCGCCGCGACGCGCTCTCGCGCTCATCCAAAGCCTCCTCCTCGTCGTCGCACTGAAGCAAAAGCAGCAGCAGCAGTAGTAGCGTTATTATATATTATTGTACATTAGCGAGCTGCAGTCGTGCACATATGTTATTATTGTCGTACGCGCAAACACACGTGCGCGCGCCCCGTTTTACGATATTACGATATAGTGTGCAGTACGAGTGCGTGCGCGCGAGCTTTACAGTTTATTTTCACTACATTAAAGTTGTTTGTATCGTTGTTGTTTTAGCCTTGGCTGTCGGCACAAGCTGCTCGTGTGTCGGGATTAAAGTGTCGATCGTCTCTCTGCGGTGATCGAGATTGTGCAGAAATAAAGAAAAAAAAAAGAAGAAGAGAAAAGGAAGGAAGCTCCGAAATCGCGGCAGAAAATACGCATACACGAACGAGTTACAATAGTGCCAGAGCTATATAGCTGATATCCTCGCGCGCGTGCATGTGCTGTGTCATTATAAATAAGTGTGTGTCAGTGTGTTGTGTGCCTGCAACAACAACAGCAACGACGACAACGACGACGACGAGGACGACGACGAAAAATAATAAAAAAAAAAGAGAGAAATCAACGTCGAATACCTCGTGCGAATAGCAAAAAAAAAAAGAAGAATCGAGTGAGTGTTTATCAGTTCTGCGGAGACCGAAGTGAAACGTGACGTAATTTTTTTTGTTTTTTTGTGTGTGCGTGCGCGAGTGCGACGACTACCGCGTGCAGCTGTTACGGCCAGGCAGGCAGGCCATCTTCGTGTCCCAAAAGGGTTGGTGGTGTTAATTATCTTCGTATACAAACGTGTCCCGTGATTCGGACGTTCTTCTGATTTTCCTCGTGAGCCATAAGCCGCAGTTATATGTATAATAATTAAGCTCTCCTAGCCGAGATGTATAATATTACACATCGGCGAAAAAATCGACGGTATATAATACCGAGTGAAATCGGTGCACTGCGGCACTAGTAGTAGCTCTCGACAATGCGCGCGCTACGCGGCTTCGACGACAACGACGTTTTCCCGCATTACACATAGCTGTATATATATACAAACGAAAGTAGGGAAAGAGCGATAAAAGTGCGAGTGTAAGTGGTATACGCGGTTGTGCATTGCACGACCAAATCGCGCGCGCAAAAAAAAAAAAAAAAATACGTGTGTGTGTGGCTGCTGGCTGCGGAATCGGGAGCCCCGCTGCGCGTACGTATTAAGCGCGTTGATACCAAGCTCGCTGCGAGACCGAGACTACTGCCTTATGCTCCGTGTTTTTGCGCGCCTCGCAGAGGCAGCTATATCGCGCGCAGCAAAATGCATTATATCGGCTATACACCACGTATACACAATAAACCAATAAAGCCGGTTTATTTATTATTGAATTTCTTTCCTTCTCTCTCACTCGTTCGGCAAAGCTGCTGCTGCTGCTCATACTCTTTTCGATGGCCAGTGTGAGTCAAGCTGCGCGAAATCATACACACACGCAGGAAAAAAATAATAATAATAAAAAAAACAGTTTTGATTCGGTTATCGTTCGAGTTGCTGCAGCACAAGCAGAAGCATCAGCAGCAGCTTAAATCCAACACGTTTTCCCGTCGATTCTTTTACTTCTCTCGATACGTATTGTTTTATATTATCATTATTATATCGCATATAATGAATAACAATCGATGCGCGCGCGTTATAAACTTCTCGTGGAATTATTATGATAATTAATTGCCTGCAAGTCGCGCGCTAACCGAGGAGTCGAGTCGTCGTCCGGCGTTGCCGCAATAATTTATAAAGTCATCGACCAGAAAGACAGAGAGAGAGAGAGAGAGAGAGAGAGAGAAAGAGAAAAAGACAATCAATGACGATGTTTCGCGTTGTACATGAAATATTCACGGAACGTTCGACCGTACGATATCGGCGCGCGCGATAAACACAACGGCCCGCGTGCATAAATTATACACACAGGCGCACGATAACTATTTGCAACGATTTTGCGGGCCCACGGGGCTGATTTCGGGGGGCAGTTATCGAGTTTTTTTTTGGGGAGCTGTATCGCATCGTCAAACCTCCAGTGTATACGTTCGAGCGCGAGGACGCCACCGCCGCCACCGCGCCGATATGCTAATATATACGAATTTGCGGACCGGACGACCGGAAAGAAAGCGGCATAATCGTCGTTTATATTTTACGTACTCGCGTTAGATAATGTTTAGCGTTGTGCGCGTGGAGTTTTTGAAAGCGCCGAATTGTCAACGAGCTCTAGCTCCGAATTTTTCGGATATATTATATGTCTCGTAAGAAAAGACTTCTATTGAGCGGCGACTGCTGCTGGCCATTTAATGCCACACACACATAAATTAGCGACGTGCGATGTTGCTCGCAACAGAGCCGGGCTTTTTTTGCGTTGTTACGATATCGCCGAACGGATTGGACGGGTTATTTTTCTCGATACGTATATTATACATACATGTGCACAATCGGTCGAACGAATGTGGGGATAAACCGAGATAGAGAGAGAGAGAGAAAGGCGAATGAAAAAAGAATCATACACAAACGCGCACTTGGTCCGAAAACCGTCCGATATCTCTCTTTCTGCAGCTGTTTTCCTCGGGCTCGAGTCCTCGCTCTTGGCCTGAATCTCGATCGGCTCGTCGACGCGCGCTCGAGGATGCTATATGTACAGTCGGCAGCTATGCACAGCTGTAGTTGGCGGCCACCGCGCACACAGCATACATACATATATTTAACGAGTAGTAGTAGTAGTAGTAGTGGTATACGCGTTTGCGAACGCGCACGCAAATTATCGAATCAAGTCACGCAGTCGTGTGCTGCAGCGGCTCCAGTGAACAATGTCGCGATATTACGAGTCCGATAATTCCTCGCGCTGTTTTTCTTGTTTTGTGTTATAAACTACGCGCGTATCCGCGAGCCTCCGAGGATTTAAGCTGCATCGATCGATATTAAAACCAAGCGTATGTGTGTGCATTACGCGTAACGTGCGTACACGAGTGACACATAAGCTTTTATACGTGTACGCAACAATTGGCTCTCGCGCGCACGCGTGTGTGTGTCTGTGTGTATAGGCGCACACGTAAGCCGCAGCAGCAGCAGCGAATTAATCGCACGGCAAATCGGCCGATTATATTTACGCGTCGCGCGCGCGCGGATTCGCGCATTAATAAATCGCTGCTTGCTGCTCCTCGACTTGGCGCGATAAAAAAAAAAAAAAAAAACGAGTCTCGAGATCGTTAAATCAGCCACTACTACTGCGGTGCAGTATACGCTACGCGGCGCCGAGCTCGAGCGGTCGAAACAAAAAGAAAAAAAAAATCCGAAGAAAAAATAACGCGCGTGCATAGCTTAATTTACACGTTACAATACTGTATGCGTACATAGCGGAGGGGAATCCCATTGACGGCCGCTGCTGCTGCTGCTACGGAGTCCCGGGACTGCAGTGTATATTTCGCGCGAATATCCGCTCCGGGAGAAAGTACATTATAAAGTAAACACGAAGCTCGCGGCCGCGGCTCGCGCGCGACTGCTTTAATAATGCGCGAGCACACGCGTCTTATGTATACACCGAGGCGCGCGCGGGTATATAATTTTCAAGTTCGAGTTCATTACAACGCGCTCGCGCGCGCGTGCGATATTCGGAGCTAGACTAAATTTAGACTTTTTTACGGGGGCGAATTGTATATATACGTTGAATATCGCGGAGAGAATTTAGGATGCATTCGGTTGGAAAATCGCGTTATAAGGTTGGCGCGTCCGCTGTACGTTTGTATATATATCTCACTCGCGTGCATAATTGCTTTATAAATTTGGAGCCAGCTCGTGAAGAGTCAGAGAGAGAGAGAGATACGAGAAAAAGGAGAGAGTAAAAAAAAAATGAATCGGAGTCGAGACTTCGTGCTTTAACTGCACTTTATAACTGAAAGTACATACGGTAGTATTGCGCCTTTTAAACTTTGTGCGCTCTCCGTATTTGCGTGCGTGCGTTCGATAATTCGCTTTCCGTATTAGTGCCTACTACGCTATATACGATACACACATATACACGCAGTCACGACTGCCGATCGAGTACAGTTCGTGTGCCCGCGTTCGCTCTCGCTAATGCTCATATATAATACGAGCGAATATTATTATACTATACAAGTTCACTTTATTGTATTAATGTCATTCGGCGGTGGCGTATCGCGCAATATACATATAACACTACACGTGCTCTGGCCGTGTGTAATCGAAGAAACGAACCCGATGCCACAGAAGCAGCGGCAGCGGCAGCTCTCGCTATCGCATTGTGTATATGTGTAGTATATGTATTCGCACACTCGCGCACACCTACGTGCACTTGCCCTAAATACGTATATATGTCGCGCGCGGCGCACATCGCCGACTTTTTCACGCTCGTCTCTCGGCTCGGCTCTCGTGTACATCGTCGCGCGTATATAGCACGGACACATATACACGCATAAACGCGCCCGAGTCGCTTCTCTAATGCACGCACGCATGTTACGTATAATGTGTGTGTGTGACAGTCGGAGCTGCGCTGCTCACACATGGCTCTTTAACATACACGCGTGCAGATATTACAATAACTCCGCAGGGCACGTATATGTAGTACGTTAAGAGCTATTACGCCGCACTGTGCACCTATATAATGTGTTCTACTCGACGTTATTTTTCTTTCTCTCTCTCTTTCTCATTTTCGAGGACACTTTCACTCGGCTGGTAAAATGCGAACGTACATTTTTTTTCCGCCCAGAAAACGTCGCGTTTACCTACATGTACAGCGCGGCGTTTCTTGTTCCTTTTTTTTTTTTTTGCTGTTATCTCTCGCTTTGTATCGGGACGCGTCGCAGTTATACACACACACACACACACACATAATAAGTATTTTTAAATGTATACGCGTGACTGTGTGTGACACTTATTTTTCGAAGTGTCCGCGCCTATATGTGTATATATGCACGAGTGCGTATAGATACACGCGGAGCGCATATACGCGAGAACTGCAGCGGCGGAGCATGTGCTCGACTGGGGCAGCTCTGTTTTCTTACGTATGTACGTGCATTACATGTATAGCATATAGAGGCGAAGCCGTGCAACTTATTCAACCCGGAGTATCGAGTTTAATTGAAAAAAAAAAAGAGAGAGAGAAGAAGGAAACATATAGAGAGAGTGAAGAGAGACGCGTGTGGAGTAAGATAATGCCTCTTGCCCTCCCCCTACTCTCTCGACACAACGACAACAACAACGACTCCCACTCGTGTTAGCGCGCGGACAATTTTTTCTGTCTTTCCGCGTCTTTTCTCGCTTCTCTCCGGGGATAGACTATATATATGCACGCGTTGCTGCTTGCGAGGAAACGTATAGCAGTAGTACCTGTTTCTCGAGTGCTATCGATCGAGGCTCGTACGACCGATCAATGCTCTACACGCGCTTGTGTGTGTGTCTGTATGTGTACATAAACATAGCTGCCTAGTGCCTACAAGCACGTGTAGCAGCAGCGCGAAATACATGTATATATACGATATCTCACTGGACTAGCTGTGTACAGTGTTGTCGAGTCTCATCTACTTTCACACGTTATTCCATAACATATACACACGCACATATATAAATACAAATACAAGCTCACAAGCTCGCAATTCGCACACGTATAATATTGTATGGGCGCGAATTATTCAATTTTTCACGCAACATGTCAGAATTCACACGCGGATATCTTCGTTCTGTCTGTTCTGCGATTCTCGCGGCATCGATGTAATTAAGCAGCTCTCGCTCGCTCGCTCGCACTCTTTTACGACGCGGTGCATTCGATTAGCCCAAATTCCCACATATAGGAAAACGCGTATTTGTTTATACATTCGCGCTTTATTTTATACATATATAGCATACCGCATCACGTGTGTGTGCGTCGTTCGATAATGATTACGTATCCCCCAGCCGGCGGGCAATATAAGTACATGGCTTTTTCGTTGAATTTTTAATGCGACTGCGAACAAAAAAAAAAGATATACAAAGAGGCGCGCGCGCGCGTGTACACGCCTATTTGCGCGATTATCAAGCGTATACTCGCTGAGCTTTTATAGCGTATACAATGCCATTCTTTTTTTTATTTTTTTTTACTTATTTTATAACCTTTTTTTTTATACAATAGCCGCGTGCCGAATACGTTGCAAGGGTATAGTAAGAAGAAAATAACGTCCATATCGAAATCATTTTCAGATGTAATCAAGCTCCGTACGCGCTTATACGTAAACAATTTCCATCTCGCCGCACGTCGAGAGACGCGTTTATATCGCGCTGAAAAAAATCGAAAACTCATTCCATGCAGCTTATTAAACAGCGCGTTGCTAACCGACTTGTCAATACCAGATTTTCCCTCTCGATTCTCTCAAACTTCATGTTTCTCGACGAGTCTCTCTCTCTCTCTTCTCGATTATTATTATTATTATTACTCCAGCGCAGAATATTCCACGAATGACCCGCATTTACCCGATGATACTCTTTTATTATTATTGTCAATGTAATTACCGATGCACACACTTTGCATAAAATTATTAAACGTTCGCGCATTTTTGCGTCGTTGTTTCAGGATTTTGCAGCCCGCGGCGTGTACAAGAAGAATAAAAAAAGCAGCAACGCCTTGGGTGTGCGTTGCGGCTCTAACGACGACCAATATGTGCAAAAAATCATCGACCAGTCTCGGCGGTAGATTATCATTGAGGTAGAGAGAAGACTTTTTATACACAGATCGAGGCCCTGTTTTGTGCATCGACAAAAGTCATCGGCGTCACGAACGCATATACAAACCGACACTCGTCCACATACATATAATAATATATACAAAGCAAATAAATCTTAATGAGTTGCTAACGATGTACAATGAGCTACGCTCGAACGATGCCAGACTGGCCGCAATACAGCAGCCCGCTGATGCAGTCTGGCGACAGTAGCGAGCGACAGCAGCAGCAGCAACAAATACAACAAACTGTCAGCAGCAGTTCAGTAGTAAATCAGCAGCAGCAGCAGCAACAAATTTACAATCATCCTCTGGACTGCCTCTCGAGCGCGGGCAGCAGCAGTACAGGCAGCACCAGTAGCAACAGCAGCAACAGCAGCAATGCCAGTAGCAGTGGCGGTAGCGGCAGCAGCAGTACCAATGGCGCGACGTCCACCAGCAACAACAACAATAACAATAACACGAACAAGGGCCAGAACGAGACGGTGGCGTCGGCCTACTATCAGCAGCAACAGCAGCAAACGACGTCTGTGGCGTCGAGCAGCGGTTCACCGTTGGCCATGGTCCAGCATCATCCGGTCATGGCCAGCTACGCCATGGAGTCAGCTCACAACAACGTCACACAGCAGCAACACAGTCCAGCAGCGGGTCTTGGCCTACCGGAAGAGATGGCGGTGGCTGTCCAACAGCAGCAACAGCAGCAACACCTACAGAGACAAGCCATGGTCAGTCCATCCGCGAGGCTACCCCCCGGCTTGGGGATGAGCAGCGGCATGACGGCCATGCCACCTCAGCAGCTCATGAGTCCGCAGCAGCAGCAACAACAAGTGCAGCAAGTGCAGCAAAGCAGACAAAGCAGCCCGTACACGCCGGCTTGTAAGGGACCTTGCTGTCAGACTACGAGCATGAGGCAGCCGTACAGGTGACGCATTTTATTATATATATTGTATATACCCCACTTGCTTGGCTTTTTCGTCGACCGACTCCGTGTATACAGTCGTTTTAGCCGTTGCGCTTCTTATCTTCAAAGATTTTTTACGTAAGAGAAAGTTGCGATACGATTGTATATTCGGAAATTCGCTCTAAAGCTAACACAATAGCGATCGGTCAGCGCTCGCGACGTTTTACCCGATAAACCGTAATAATCGGCAATTACCGTGGCGCGCGAGTTTCTTTGCTCGAAAAGTAAAATCGAACTCGTACAGTCATATATATACGTACATAAGTGTGTGCAATCGATTTCGCATTATACAATTCTCGAATTCGATCCGCTCGGCGACAAATAGTTCAAGATCGTGCGTGCGCGTACACACTTTTACTACCACTCGTTAATAATAATAATAATGACTGCTGTGCGATGGTCGCGTTTTCAAACTTGACTCACTAAGCGCGCGCGTATTTACGTTGAAAACGAAGGCAAAAAAAAAAGGCCAGGTACAAAAAGAAAACACACGAGCGCGTAAAAAAAAAAGAGGACACTCACGCGAGCGCGAATGTACAACCGGCGCGCTGGTGAATATATTAATGGAGTTTCGATCGCGTCGTGTATGTAGCGAATCGCTCGCGCTGCACAATGTCGCGCTCGCGTCTTTTTTTTTTAATATGATTATTATAGGACGCGTCGGCGGAGTGCAGCACAGTCGACGCGATGTATAAGCTACTCTGAGAGTAGTAGCAGGAGGAGGAATCGAGAGAGAGAGAGAGTGAGTGAGCCGCATGCCACGCGGAGATTTGCCAATGTACGCGAGAGTCGTGTTCTCGTATACACGTATATAAAGACGCGGCGCGACTGCATTAATACCGAACACTGCTGCAACTCGTCTTGTAAGCCTGCTCGGCAGGTATACATCCAGCGAGATGCAATCCGATCTCTCTCTCCCTCCCTCCAATGCACACGCTTACATAACAACCCCCTCCGATCTCTGCCATATTATACTCCTGCTCGCGACACACGCACGTATATCGCGTACACATTTTAGTATACACCCTTCACTTCTTCGCGTACACGGCTGACTTTGCGACTCTGCTGTGTTTCCACACGCAGGTGGGACAAAATCAGTGGAGCTGGTGGAGGTGCATCGCAGCAACAGCAACAACAAGTGTACCACCACCCGTCGTCTCCGGTGCAGCAGCAGCAGGCCTCGGCCGCGGTAGTCGGCAGTCATCCTTACCGCGACGTGGTCACGGGCGCCGCCGCGCATCCGTCGCCGGGCTCGCCTTACGCGAACGCCGTTGGCGCGGTACCGCCTCGAGTGGCGGCCTATCTACCGCCGTCTCGGGCTGACATTTATCAGCAGCAGCAGCAACAGCAACAGAGGCAGAGGAGGTATCAGCTCAAAGAGCAACAGAAGCAGCAGCAGCAGCAAAGCAATCAACAGCGAGTCGTGTACCAGCAGCAGTTGTCGGCTGCCGCCGCCGCGACGACGCCGGGCATGCACAGCTACACTTACACCGAGTTCCACGCCAAGTACTACAACAGATCGACCGGAGGAGCGTCGACGTCTCCCACGGCCATCAATCCGATGATGGCAGCCATGCAGGAGCAGCAGCAGCACAAATACAAACAGCAGCCAGTACAGCCACCGCCACAGCAGCAGCAACAGGTCGTCGCCGCGGCTAACGCGACGACACCCTCGTCGGCTGCGGCCGCCTACCACCACATGCAGAACGGAGCTACGCTCATGCTGCCGGCCAGCGCGACGGCTTACTACAATCCTGCGCCGATGGGTACGTGTATACATACATACTTATATATACTTTTTCTCGGACTTTACGTAACGCGCGTATATGTACGTGCGACGTTCTGTGCATAACGATCTATACTGCTATACGTGACTCGTGTATGCGTTGCTACATAGCACCTTGGCGTGCCTCCCGCATTTGCATACGTATACGCACAGCTCCAGAGCTGTCGCGGTTGTTTTCGTCGCTCGATTTTTGCAGAATTTTTCGCTTTTCTCTGGCTCGCGTTAGATTTTATCGGGATTCGAGACTCGCTGAACGCGCACGTGGCTCGTACGATTCATGTAGAGTCTCGATCATTTACACGCGAAATTATACCAAATTTTTGTCATGCTTAAACTATTCGTAACGATCGATCCGAATTGCAAATTATCCCCGCGGTGACTCCGCGCGTGCATTAACGTAAGTTATACGTTATACATTACGTGCGCGCGATACCACCCCCGATGACGAAAGTATCGAGACATTTTTTTTGCTCGGTAAAAGCCCAAATAGCCCTTCGCCCGACAAATGGGATAAAGGTATGTCCGTGTGTCTGTCGAATCCTGTATAAAAAAGGAAAAAGAGTATATAGACCAGCCCCCCCCCTTGTCTGTTCTTCCTAGTATATATACACCGGCTCTCTTCTTCATCCCTCCGTGCGGCGGGGCGCGAAAAAATTCCGAGCGCGTTTCGCTCATCAATTCGGCTTCTCGGCTTGCGCACGCGCGCCCCGGTGTATAAAGCTCGTGTGAATAAGGCAAAAGACCCGGGGGGGGCCACGAGACCGATTCATCTCAATTGTGTCTCTCTCGCGCACCACGACATAGTCTACATTCTAACGCAACCCTCCCTTCTCTGCTTTCTGTTTTTTTCTGGTTGGCCCCTCTCTCTCTCTCTCTCTATCCAGGAAGTCGCGGCGATCCGACCGAACCGCCCGGCGGCAGAGTCATGTCGACCAAGGACCAAGACGGCAGCATCGGCAGCAATGGTAGCAGTAACAACAGCTACCTGCAGCATCAGAGCTACCTGCAGAAGCTGGCGATGCAGCGCTGCAGCGTCGAGTCGCATCTGCGCGAGTTCGCCCGGGTGCCGGGCTACCAGGGCCACCCCAAGTACCAGGAGTACATGATGAAGTATCGGCAGATCGCCCGGATGCAGCAGAGTCTCGAGTATCAGCAGCAGCAACAGCAGCAGCAGCAACAACAGCAATCGGGGGCCGTTCAATATCAACAGCAGCAGCAGGCGGCGATCGTCAAGCCGCATCTGCAGTTCGATCAGAACGGCGTGCTGATCAATTCCAACGTGGTGCCGGCGGGACCTGGCTCGGCTTACGGGATGCCGCCGATGCAGCCGCAGATGGGGCCCATTCCCCCGCCCATGAAGGACAATCTCTACGACGGTAAGTTTTTTTCTTTATCGTGTATAATCGAGAATTAAAATAATTCAAAGTCGCGATTCGTCTTCTCGCGTGAGCATCCAATTGACAATGCCGTATAATACATTCATCGTGTACGACAATAAAGACGTGCACTTTAATTCGTCGTTGCGTGCGAATTGCGATCGTCGACGTGCATCGCCGTCGACGACAAATTTTATCACATGACATTTTTGCAGCCAAAGCGATGCAAGCGATGGAGCACGTGATGCAACAGCAGCAGCACCAGCACCAGCAGCACCAGCTCGGGCTGACGAATCAGCATCAGCTGATACCGAACGATCATCACCTGCATCATCAGCGTCATCTTCATTCGCAGCATCAGCAACAACCGCATCCTCAACAGCATTATATGAGTCAAACGTATCATCAACAGCAGCAGCAGCAGCAGCAGCTGTATCAGCAACAGCTGCTACACCATCAACAGCAGCAGCAGCAACAGAGACACCTGTCGCATCATCCACAGCAACAAATGCATCCGCTCATGCATCATGCCCAGCATCATCTCGATCAATCGCCGCATCAGCAGCAACAGCAACATCAACAATTGCAACAACAACAGCAGCAACAGCAGCAGCAACAGCAACAGCAACAATTGGAAGACGAGGCGGAGGACGAGCAGCGCAGAAAGATCAGCAAGGACTTCGCCGACAAGCCGCACATAGACCTGAAGCAGTTCCTCGAGAATTGGAACGAGAGGGAGGAGGACGAGGGTCTCATCGGGCAAAACGTGAGTCCAAAGCACACTATATGTACGATATAATAACGAGACAAAAGCTCGACGACGCGTACGGCTTAGCTATAAGCATGTATTGGTCGAGAGCCGGGCTCGAGGTGTGTAGGTGTATATATTAGAGCTACCGGAGGGGTAGCAGTTGGCGTGCGCCGTACAGTACAGTATAGTAAGTATAGCAGCAATAGTAGCATCGATCGGCTGTGTATTATTATGAGGTAGTGCCTATACTATATACGAACGAGTCGGAGTCGTGCGGCTCGCGAGCGAGCTTCGCATACGCCGTATATACTATACTGACTATCGATTATATAGGCGAGGACTATTTTTCCATAGTGGGGCTGCTGCTGCTGCTGCTGATGGGCTAGCTAAGCTCGACTACGAACTACTACTGTATACTATAGTAAATGCGCGCACCTACTTTTACACGCTCGCTCGCTCGGCAGAGAGCGAGTTAGACACGAGGCTCCGCGCGAGCTTGGCATCATCATGCGATATCCGGACGCGAAATTTCGTAATGTATAATATAGGCCCGCGAAAGCGCGGCGTTGTTATATATATATGTAACGAGAAGCGGCAAATAGAAAAAAGGGAAAATTGAAAGAGAGGTCGATCGCTTTATCGTATAACCGATACGTTTGATTTTTTCGATGTACCGATCCGACGGAGGTCGCAATCCCTTCGTGTTGTCGCTATATAGCCATTGCATACAGCCTACGAACCGGAAAAATTGAATCGTTGCTCGTCGCTTGAAAATCCAAAACGTTATTACCGCCTGTATGGCACATTATGTGCATGTGTGGCACGATGAATTGCGTGTGCCATACGCGCTCCGAAGCCCGCCCGTCGTAAGCTTCGCGCCTGCTGCATTCCGGCTAGTTAGTGTCTTGCTGCTGCTGCTGCTGACTCGCTGCATTCTCTCTCTCTCTCTCTCTCTCTTATAATATCCTCGCTCATGACTTTTGCGGGAGACCCATAGGAACACGACGGTATACGGAATGCAATTTAAGCAACGTACGTACACGGCACGCATCGTGTGCACCAAAGCCACGTGTATGCGGACAGGGGCGTTGGCCTCGCGCTGCTACTACGGGATCGGGGCATGGATTCGAAATTCAATCGATCGTTCACATACAATGTATTATATCAAGTAGAAGGTGTGCGTTATTATCTCGCGTGCGCGATTTTAAAGCTGGCCATCACGCTTCTTCTGCAACATCTTGCAATGACGATTCTTATCGGCCGAGCCGTCCAACTCGCGCCGATTTGATCCGGATGCGATACATTTACGCGCGACTTTTATCTTACGTACATTTTTCAAAACAATTATGACGCCTAAATTCGTCGCCACTTCGGATTAAAAATACGTAATAACAAACAAACAAAGAAACAAACAACGACAACGGTATTTACGACCAAGGTAGTTATTTGTTCGAGTACGTACGGCTAATTTTCGGAGCTTAAATACGAAGAAACGACAGTCGTCGGAAGTCGTGCTGGATCGCGATGTTTATCAACCCTTCCACGTAGGTCCGTATACCGGCTCGCTCTCAGCCTTACACTTTAACAGCTTACTACTGCTGCTGCTGCTGTCTCGGCAATTAACACACTCGGCCGCGATCCAGCCGAGCACGAAATGTCACACCTTCGGCGGAGGTATACACGCGCTAATTGACGGGGCTCGCTCTACGTGTTCGCAGGTCATTCTAACGGAAAACACTCCGATCGTCTTGCTGGAGTACAACGGCGGCGGCGGAGCAGCGACAACGGCAGCCGAGGAAGTCGTCGTGCAGCCACCCGCGGGCCTCCTCGAGCAGGCTCATCATCACCATCACCACCCGCAGACGATATGCGTGGCGACGACGAGCGGAAGTGGTGTTATAGAACCCGCTGCCTTGAGCCTGGTCAACGGCGAGGTCACCGCCGCCACAGCCACCACCACCGCCGTCAACATAATCCGATGCATAAGCAGCGGTGGAAGCGGCGACGAGGTGCCGACCATTCACATACTCGACGCCAACGAGGAGCTCGTCAAGACGGCCTTTCAGCATCTCAGCGGGCCCGCGGATCACGTGCTCAGCATCGAGGACTTGGTGAACAAGACCGTGACGGCGGCTACGGCTACGGCACTGATTACGACTACGTCGACGACGGCTACTACGGCTTCCGATAATACCGCAGCCGCCGTCGTTGCCACCTCTGCGGCAGCGGCGGAGCTGTCGTTCCTTAATGCCACGGCGATGCTACAGTCGGAACCACGCCAAGATTCACCCGCCACCGATAATACCACGAAGCCCGATAGCGAGAAAGAGCTCGCTAAAGACGGTAATTCTTACTTCATATACGTTTCTCGCCTTTGTTTGCTTTTATATTATAACGTAGGTACAAGTGTGTGTTTGAGAATTCGGTGATTCGCGACCGATCGCTATAGCTGGACGGACTTTAACACGGAGAGAGAGTCAAAGTCAAATAAACCTAATGAACTCTCGTCGCGTATATCGCCAGCTAGCTTACGTGCGTGTAAATTGGAGATAAATACGAAACGACTGCGCCTCTATATATATGATACACACACGCACACGTGCGCTTGCGGCTATATGGAATGCGAAATATATACACAGATTTGAACTCAAGCTCGATCGCCACGAGCATACATTGGTCAATTTATTCTCGACTTTTTTTTTCTTTTTGTTTTTTCATATTTCAGTCGAATCGAGCTTTTTATCGGCCATCCATGCACAATGAACACGATTGCGTGAAGTTTCTTACGTGCATCATACACACGTGTAGTAGTAGTAGTAGTACTTGCACGATCGCAATGCGCGTGGAGCAATATATATATGACCTCGTGCAGCTACGCCAATTGCACTTGTACACACGTACAAATACTCGCTTATATATATTTGACAATCTCTGCTGCTGCTGCTGCTGCTGCTGTGGCACGACATTCGTATTACGTCGTAAAAGTTTATCGTGCGTACGTCATCGAGAAATCAAAATATATAATCGTAATACACGTGTGTGCTGTGTGCATCGATTTTATTTTCATTTAAAAAACTTTTTTTTTTCCTCGTACAAAGTGTCTCGCGAAAATTAGAAAAGAAAAACGACCATAGTAACTACAGCAACGATGTTATAATTTTACAGAAAATCAAGCGAGGAATGCGACGTCGAGTTTATCATCATCGCCACCAACGTTGCCACAAACGACGGCCCCGGTCTCGGCGACAGAGAACGCCAGCGATAATGCGACGACGAAAAGTCAGGACAAGGACGACGATAAAGCTACCGGTGTTGTGGTGTTGACCTCGACGTCGACGAGCAGCGCAATAACAACAACCGCGGTGGAAACGTCGACGTGTACCACAAGCTGCAACGGTGCTAGCGGTCTCGAAAATGGCAACAACGATCTCGAAAACAAAAACGACAAAACCGAGGCAGCAGCAGCAGCAGCCACGAACAACAACATCATGGCCGTCGGCGAGGACGACACTCGCACGACGAACGACGAGCTGAGCCTGCCCGAGATACCGTGCTGCATCACGAGCACGACCTTGAACACGCCCACGCAGTCCGACAACGAGGAGTCGTCATCGTCGGCGGCGGTGCGCGTCCAGTCGATGGAGGAAGTCACTAGTGGTGGTGGTGTGAGCTTCGCCGAGCACTCGCCCATAAAGTTCCAGAATGGCTCGACGACGACGACGACGACGAGCCTCGGGAATGACGAGTTGCACTTTGGCTTTCGGAATGCCAATGAGGTGACTAGTCCTACTACGAAAGCCAGCGAGAAAGGTGCGTTACGTTATATATATTTTTTTCTCTCTCTCTCTCTTCTTTCTCCGTTCTTTCGCGCACGCACGAAACGAAAACAAGAAAAGTTAAGAGAGGAGCGCGTGTTACTGAACGAGGGGGATGGGTGGTGGTGGGTGGACACGACGAGGGCACGTGTACGGAATTTAGCGCAACGATGCTTTGGAGATTTAAGAAAGTACTTACTGCTTTATAACGAAGCGCGGGGAGCGAGAGAGGCTTTCTTTAAAGGAGCCAAAATTGACTCGTTGTAACTTACTGCCCGCTCGAGTTTATAAGTTTGAATGTAAATAAAAAGAAGGGAAAGAAGGAGGAAATGCCTTTGCTCTTGGTTTATAAACCTCAGGCTTGGGTAATTTATATCGCGTGCTAATGTTCGCAAGCATCGCGATCGGAAGACATTTAGAGAGAAAGAAAGAGAGCTGAACGAAGGTCGTTTCGAGAGTATACAATATTCTTTGATGATAATCGAGGCAAAGCGAAGAAAACGGAATGAGAGATAAGCCGAGCGAAATCATTTTTCAAATATCGATGTATAATAATAACGCGCGCGCGCGCCTGTAATGCTCGGAATCGTTGAAAACAAAGTGCGAAACAAATTCAGTGTTATACGAGCACTTTAAACGATACTCATCTCGAGGAGATTTTTAATGTAAGTTTGTCGAGCGGCCGAATAGATCGATAGATCGATGGTACGCGGATGCAAATTTTCGAGCGACAAATCGCACGCGGTTAAAGTAGCAAGAAAAAGCGTGAAAAAAGAAGCGATCGACCGAGACCTGCCTCTCGTGCGCTTAGCGTGAATTCTCGAGATACACGATGTCGCTTACTCGCTGCTCGTCGTTCGCGTACACACAAACTCACACGTATACACAAACTTGGTCAAATATTTAGTCACTTGCCGCAGCGTTGCCGCTGGTAATATGTATTTGAACGAGCTCGAGGCTCGTATCATGTATTCTTCGATTCGTCGCGATCTCTCAAGCTGCGTACCTATCTATCTACCTCTAACGCGTGTAACGTCGTCTTCGCTCGTAATGTTTATTTTGAATATTCCACGACCCGTGCGCGCGTATGTAAATTGAGTCGATATAATTTATTTCGCCTTTTATCAGCCGTATAATATGTGTTTTTTTCGAGCTTTTTATTGCGCACGTATTATACCACACGAAGAGGAGGCAGCGGCGGCAGACGCATACGGTACACGCGCGCGGAACACACAATATGTATACGCGCGGATCGCGGAACAGTCTCTCGCTCGCTCGGCGCACGGAATTATTCGACAGAGAGAAGACTCGTTATCGTTATCGAGAGCGAACGCGAGTATATATTATGAGCTCCGAGCCGAGCGAGAGAAAAAAAGAGCTGTTTTCTGATTTACACACGCATACGCACGTACACGAGCTCGCGATCGTTTACGTCGAGCGTACGCAGCTGCACACGAAAATTCCGTCTGTGCGAATTTTCTACTGCTAGACTCTTTTTTTTTTTTCAAGCTCTTCCGCGCGGTATTCCGCGTATGATATTATAATTTTCTCGTGCCTCCGTATGCATACGTGTGTGTGTGGCTCGTTCGGTTTTATGCACGAACTCTGCGATGCTTACGTCAGCGATCCATCGCTTGTATACATGTATATACCGACCGCCGCCGATCGGAATGACCTTTTTTTTTGTGCAACATCGTTATAAATATTCAAACGCCATCTCTCTCTCTCGTGCGTTGGATAACGCGTGTAATATAATATATTGGACGATTTGTTTGCTTCTCGCGCGACCCCGTGCGATTGAAATTTGCACAGCGCGATGGACAATATTTATCGGATTTTTCCGACGCTCCATATGTTACGCTTTTTTTTTGCTCCTCTTCTTCTTCTTCTTCTGCTTCTTCTTTAAATGCAGCGTGCAGCTCACGTACCACGTTTTTGTTGTTATTGAATAAAAAAAAAAAAAAAAAAANAAAAAAAAAAAAAAAAAAAACGACTCGTCGAGAGAGCGAGAACGTGCATAATATAATATTTACATATATTGCGCGGCATATTGCAACACGCACAAACACACACACGGCTTGGTAAGCAGCAGCAGTCGCTGAAATAAAAATATTGTGCTTACGATGCTCGCTTCTCGAGTCGATGTGTATATGCATTTATAAGCTCATTTTCGACACACACTGTTTTGATAATGTAACACGGACAATTTTTTGTTTTTCTGCTCACTCGCAGAAGTCGCGGATCGCGAGGAGCAGAGCAGCAGCAGTGGCAACGATAATCAACAGCCGGAAGTGGCAACGACGACGACGAAACCGAGTAGCTGCAACAGTATGCCGCTGTTGACGACGACGACGAGCCATCCCGAGAACATCAACTCGGCCATCGACTTCTCGGACCTGTCCAACTCGTCGTCGAGCGTGATGATCCACGGCGACGAGCCGAGGATGCCCGCCCCGCCGATGGAGGGCAACTGCTTGACGAAGATCATCAAGGACACGCCGCCCATCACCAACATACGGGTCTTCGACTCGGACGACGAGAAGGTCAACGACATGTGGCTGGAGCTCGACAATCATTTCGGCGATCATCATCGACTCGTCGAGGAAAAACAACAACAACAACAAGTGCCAATGACGACGACGACGGCGGAATCGAGCGCGCGAAAGACCAGCAGTCTAAGGCTCTTTAGAAAGATTAAATCAGGCCTCATCAATATAGCCGAGCAGCAGCAGCAGCAGCAGCAGCAAATGACGGATGCGACGAAAGGTCAGTTACCTAGGGCGAGCGAGAAACCTCAGGAAGTCGTCGTAGCTGCTACTGAGAAGCCCGCGCAAGTGACCGCCGCCGCCGCATCAATGCCAATACTCGTGCAAAAAGACGTCGTTGCTACTGCTGTAACAACGACGACGATGAGCGAAAAGTCGAGCTTGGAAATGCTGCCGACTGAACGCAAGCCCAGAAAATCCGTGGACTCGGCCTTGAAGAATTTCAGAATCGAGAGACTGAACTTTCCGCGTAAACGGGCGCGCTCGGTCGAGGCCGAGGCCCAGCAACAACAGTGCACCGAACAGCAGCAGCAGCAACAATCACAGCAGCAGCAGCAAAGCAACGAGGACCTGTTCGACGAGTTTCGCAGTATTAAGAAGGCGCGCAAGGGCATCGGCCAGATGCAGGACGACATCGAGATGCTCAAGAGCAGCATCGACGAGCTGAGAAACGGCGTCAATATCAACAATAATAACATTCCGGTTTTTCATAATAATAATAATAATAACAATTGTGTGTCCACGAGTGTCACCGACCACAGCAGTAGTAGTGGCAGTGGTAGTCCGACATCGTCGTCGCCGACGCAGCAGTTGATATTCAACGCGTCGCTGCCTCTGCTGCCCGAGACGAAATTCAACAACGCGCGGCAGAGGACGTCGCGTCAAGCGTCGCCTCCCCCGCCGCCGCCGCCACCGCCGGCTTCGATCGACGAGAGCTTGACGAAGCCCGCGACGAGCGAGGAGACGAGCAGCAGCAGCAACAGCAACGGCAGTACGAAAAGCTGCGTCGACTCGGACATCAAGATACAGCTGCCGAACGTCGAGCTGCAGATCACCGACAAAAAGGAGACGAGCTGCTGCAACGGCTCTACGTCCAGTTCCACAACGACGACAACGGCGACGAGCAGCTCGAAAGAGGCCATCAAGATCGAGATCAACGTGTCGCGCGTCGAGAGCCAACGCTCCAACGACACGGAGATCGTCAGCACGTCGAATCAGCTGCTCAACATCTCGCTGCCGCCGACCAATTGCGTGCTGGACTGTCGCGCCTCCATCACGACGACCAGCGAAGAGGAGGAGCAGCGCGAGATAGTCAGCACCAGCTGCGATCTGTCCGTCAAGGAGGTCGTGCCCTGCAGTACCGAAGAAAAGACCACTGTGACTCAGCTCGAGGCTGAGAAGAGCAACGACGTCGTCGTGGAAAAGACGACGACGAACGATAAGATCGTCGAGGAGGCTTCGATCGATCTGCTCGAGAAAAGCAAGAGTCTGGAGGCTGTGATACTGCTCGAGAAGGAGGAGGAGCACACCCTGACCTTCGTCAATCAGAATGCCTTTCTGGACAACGACGCTCTCGCCGATCGTTCGGAAAGCAAGGACGACAAGCCTACTACGAACTCGACAGCGATGATTTCTTCACCGAAAAAAGACGAAAAAAAGCTCGACGATAAGAGCTTACTGAGACAGCTGGAGCAAGATCTGTCGAGCTTCAAGTCCTGTCTCGACGGCCTCGACGAGAAGCCCACTGTCGCGGATATTTTCAAGGTGGACAAAACCGAGGTGCTGGACGCCGCCGAGTTTCCCATAGAAAAGCTCGAGAAGTCGGAGTCGTCGAACGAGACGACTTTTCGTAAACGAGACGAAAAGCTCAATAAGCACAACGGTAATAATGCATCCGTCGAAGCGGCCACCGACGAGGCTCTGAAGCAGATCATGAAGAGCCAGCGTCTGATCGACGAGGTGCTGGCCGACGCGAGCTGCATCAAGAACAACAACTTCATCGACTGTCCGGTGGTGGTGGTGGAATCGGCGGCGGTGCCGAGCTGCTCGAAAGACGTCGCTGATACGGATTTCGACAATTTCGACGTCGAGCCCTACACCGGCCAGTGCGACGACGTGAGTCTGCCGACGACGAAAGCCGCGGGACGACGAGACAGCGTCGCTTCCAGTCACGCCAGCAGCAGCGGCAGCTGTGGTACAACAGTCGCAGCCGCACTATCGGATCCTCTGCTGGACAAGATGGGCAATCTCGACCAGGTGCCCGTCTACACGACCAAGGACGGCAAGATACAGTACAGTCCGAATCCGAGGTACACGTATCGGGCCCTCGTCATGGAGGCGAGACGGCGCGAAGGACAGCACGGCGGCGTTGGTGGCAAATTATTTCCGCAGCAGCAGCAGAGCTTCAACGGGACAAAGACCAGCACCAGCAGCAGACCCGGTGAAACGATCGACCGGCATTACAGCGACGAGAGGCGACGCATGAAGCCCTACAGCCGCAAGGACAAGTGCAATCGTCGCAGGGAGAAGAGCAGCGAGGAATCGCGCCCAGTGAGTGACGAGAATAGTGTGCCAGCAGCGGTGGCTTGTGATGATAATCAAAGTGACTGTGCGCCAGTAGTGAAGAACAGTGGTGGTGGTAATAGTGACGTCAAAGTAGTGCCCCAACAACAACAACGAGTTGACACGTGCGCGCTCGATAATGTAAACAAAGTGACGAGTAGTAGTGTCGACGCAGACGACGAGAAAGCAACAGCAACGACAGTAGTGAAAAGTGCCACCGAAGTGATACTGAACGAGAGCGATTTCGAGCAAGTGGCCGAACTCGCGCCAGCCCCCGTGGAAGACGCCGCCGACCAGGCGGTCGACGAGAAGTCCATGATGGAGATCAGCCGCTGCCCCTCGCCGCCGCCCGACCACCTCAACTTTCGGCAGCTCTTCAACGACTGCTCCATGACGATGCTCAAGTTTCGCTCGCCCCGAGTTACGTCGCCGCCGCCCCCCTTGACCGTCAGCAAGCGGCTCAACGAGTCGCTGGATCAGCTCGAGGACGTCATCAAGGGTAACGTTACCCTCGACGAAAAAGACACCAAGATCGTTAGTGTTGATCGATGCATCGTCGATCTGACCAATCTGCAGCAGGACATACTGAGGAAGCTCGAGGACGAGGAGTCGAGATACAAGAGCCTGACAGCGATTACCGCTACGAAATCGGACGACAGCTGCGTCGTGATCGAGGATGAGGACGACGTAGACGACGATGAAAAATTCGATTCTTCTTTTCTGACGAAAGTCAGCGATACGAGTTGGTTGGATTTGACGTTGGAAAAAGACGGCAAGGTGGAGAGCGACAAGTCTGAGTTGAGCGAAGACGGCAAAAAAATAAAAGATGACAAAGCCGATCGGGATCCGAGCGCGGAAAATAAAGACTCGGAAAAAGAGGAAAAAACGTCGGACACGATTGATTTGACGATCAAGAAGGAGAAATTTTTTTCCGCCTTGGACAGCGCTTTGAATAAACTCCACGAAACATCGGATTTTAAGTTGAATACGAAAGAAGAAGAGGTCGATTTGGTGAGCGTCAAGGATATACCTCTACCGAGCTTGAAAAAGATCGCGATCGACGGTTTGTCAATGTCGACCAGTCGTAAAGAAAAATCTGCACCGGCTTTGGACACCCGTCCAGAAAATTCAGTTCCTGCTCCGGTCGAGGTCGAGGTCGAATTAGCCTCGTCCGTTCCGGACAAATCGACTTCCGAATCGACGACAGCCGTCGAAAAAGATGCTACCGCTTCGAGCTGCATCTCAACAACGGAAAAAGAAACTTCGCCAGTTCCGGATGCCATCGAAACTTTCGAGGAGAAGGAATCGGCGAACGAAATGACCGAAATTCCATCATCCGCGGTTGAAAAGAACGACGCCGCGGACGTTCCTCTGCCTTCCGAGAGCGAATCTTCTGCTTCTTTGAATTCTACGACCGATGCTGCCGCTGCTATCGAAGCGAAGGAGCAAACAGTCGACTCGAACGAACGGAATAAAAATTCGCTCAATATCGGTAACGAGCCCCAGACGGAGCCTATCGAGATCGAACACCAAACCGTGGAGGTGATAAGCGACCCGTTCGAAAGTTCATCGATTTTCAACGAAAATACAGGATCTTTGTACCAGCCTCTGATCAAATCGGAATCCTCCGCGCCCTTTACGCCGCTGCACGAACTGTTCGGCTCCACCGCCACCTTCGACGCGATGGAGAGCGGCGAACATTTATCCAGCTACAATTCGCCGCTGCACATCGATCAGGACAGCATGAGCAAGAACGAGAACATGTTGAAGGTTCTCGAGGAAGTTTTGGGATCGTTCGAGCCCGCCGCCGCGGCCGCAAGCTCGAAAACCAGCGCCACCACCGGTGCAGATAGCTCGAAAAGCAGCAACGAACAACGACTGCTCTCTATGTTTGGAAATGCCCTGGACGATGGGTGTTCGAGTTACAATAAACACCGAGTGCCTTCGCCGATAATCGAAGCGCCGGTAAAGCCCAAACCTCGACGGGGAAGGCCGCCGAAAGCTCTGAAAGCTGCGCAGCAGGCTGCTGCCGCCGCGGCTGCTGCTGCTGCTGCTTACGCCGCACAGACGCCGACACCTCCGCCCACGCCACGCTCCAAATCCAGCAGGGAGGAACGAACGAGGAGGCGAAAATCGCTGAAGCGCAAGAGACTGTCGAGCGACGAGTTCGGCGCTGGATCATCCTACGCGCTGCCCTGCTCGATCGACAAGAGCAAGCTTGACTCGGACTTTTGCGAAAAGTTCCTCAAGGAGGAGAAGCTCTACGCCTCGCAGACCAACAACGACGTCCAACAAACGACGACGACGACGACGCCAGCCCCGCCGAAGACAGTACCGAAGCTCGTGATACGCACCAAGGCCAGCAGTGCCTGCAGTGGCGTCGACGAGTCGACGATGTCGTCGTCGTCGTCGTTGTCCACGTTATCGCTGCAGCCGAAGATCCCGAAGATGATCATACGCAACGTCATCAAGTCATCGAGGCCGGCGACGCCGAAGATCGAGGAGTTTTCGTCGGACAGCTCGAGCGAGGACGAGATCAAGAGCAGCGGCAACGGCCATCGGGTCAAGTTCAAGCTCGAGGACACCAGTAGCGAGGCCTCCTCGGCTGCCGCCGCCGCTGCCTCTGTGGCTCTGTACGATTCCAAGGTGCCGAAGATGAAGATCAAGCTGGAGGAAAACCAGCCGAGGGTCGTGCAGAGCGCGGAGGTGCCGAACTCCAGCGAGCCCAAGAATTTGCTCAAGATGACCATTACCAATGTGAAGAGTTTGCCGAAGATCACCGACAACAAGTCGCTGCACGAAGACAGCGGCAGCAACAAGCTAGACTCGAATCCGTCCTCGGTCGAGCCGGCCAAGTTCAGACCGAAAAAAGAGTCGCCCAACTACTCGTCCTCGTCGGAGAAACGCAGCACTGCCAGTGTCCACGCTTCTCTGTCCAGGAGATCGACGAAGCAGGGCCAACAAAAGCGAGAAATCGACTCGGAAAGCTCCTCGTCGTCCTCGTCGTCCTCAACGTCGTCGTCGTCGTCGCCTTCGGACAGCGGAACGGAATTCGGCAACAACAGCAACAAGAGCAAAAAGCGCAAGAAGAGCAGCGGCAGCAACAGCAGCAGCGGCGCGTCGAGGAGCAGCAGCAAAGTGCCCAAGGTCATACTGAAGCGCGACTCGCCCAACGCCGAGTTCAAGTGCGAGCTGAGCAAGGAGGCGATCGTGAACTCTCAGTGCCAGGTCGTCCTCAGACGATCCAAGATTCTCGACTACATGGCCAAGGACAAGAGAAAGATGAAGCTGGTCGTGAAGATGGTCAAGGACGGCGAGACGATGCCGGCCGCCGCTGCGGCAACGACAGCGGCAGCGAAGATGGCGGAGGTGGAGGAGACGAAGAACGAGGAGAAGCCGAGGATCGAGCAAGAGCCCGAGTCGAAGGTTTTACAGTGGCAAAGGTTCGTTGCTCATTATTATTGTAAGAACTTTGAAAATGCTTGTTAATTTTAAGAAATTTAATCTCTGCGTGCTATCGATACTTTATTCTATCTATAATTTATTGTCTCGGCAGAAAAAACATTTAAATAAAAGTGTGAATGCCCCCAGCTACGTTGATACACGAAAGTATGCAAAAAAAAGACAGAAAGAAAAAATCATTATTACGTCGAGGAAAATGTATACGCGAGAGATATAACGTTGGCTCTTTATCACGTATAATGTATGTTTTTTTTTTCGCTCTCCTCCGATCGAGCCTTCGGTCACGAGTCTAAGCGCGATTAAAAAACTCAGCGCTATGCTATATACGTATAAATAAAATATGGAATTTTAGAGAGCCGATAAAGGCCGTGACTTTTAGTTGTGCAAACATCTCGTCGTTGTACATAGAATTTAACACTATCGCGCGCTCGTAAGCCTCGGATAACGCATTTCAACTCGTGTTTCTTCGAATATACTCGAGTTGTCCTCAAAAATCGTGAACGAGTGCTGTGTAATGTAAAAATTGCAGGTTCCTCTCGGGCTTGAAAGAGCAGCGGGAGCAGCTGTCGCGCTCCAGCTCGACCTCGGATCTGGATCGTTTCGCGCCACCACCGCCGACGACGACGACGAGCACTAAGAATCGGCGCGCCTCCACCGAGCAGACCACCACCACTACGACGTCGACCTGGAGCGAGTCCACGATGATGCTCGACGCCAGCAATACCGTAGAAAAAACGACGACGACGACAGATCGAAAGCAGGAGGATCAGTCGAGCTACTGGAAGTCCCTCGACGAGAACATGAACAGCAGACTAGATAACGGCGGCGGTGGTGCCGCGGACGACTTCAAGCCCCTGTCTACGATCGTCGAGCTCGCTGCCGGCGAAGCGTCCTTGAACTCGTGCTGTCAGCAGCAGCCACAACAAGAGCAAGAGATCAAGCTCGACTATCCGATGACGACGATCGACGACAGCGAGAAGTTCATCGTCGACAAGAACTTGGACGTGCACGAGGTCGAGGTGGACGGCACCACCATGGACGACGAGCTGACGACGACGAGCAAGTACACCAACAACAGCGACGAGTGCAACGACCGGTCGATCATCAAGGTCGAGTCGTCGGACGACAGCCAGACGACCATCGAGATAATGCCGGCCTCGCCCGTTGACATGGAGGTGGCATCGGCGGCGAAATTAGAGGAGGACGAAGTGCACTACCAGCTGGAAATGGAGATCGACCAGCAGCAGCAGGAAAAGGAGGAGGAGGAAGGAACGACGATGATGCAAGTGCCGCTCAATTGCGTCGTCGTCAAGGCGCATCGTGACAAGAGCGCCGTCCTCTTGACGAACGACGACGACGACGACGACGACGATGCATCCTCGTCCACGGAGAGCCATCGAGAGATCACGGGCATTCTCATTGACGAAGATCAATTAGGTAAGCTCTCCTCATAAAACCAAAAAAAAAGTCGCACATATCTTCTACTTCTTCATTCACCAGTATCGGCACGAATTATAAAAAAAAAAAACAAAATGAATAAACAAAACGATATATCCCAATCGGTTGATCGAACGTAACAAAAACGTATACGCGATCAGTCAATTGGCGCATCTCGGCACTGCAAAAAAAAAAATCTCCTTCACAACCTCTACTACTACTACTACATCTACTCGATGGATAATATCGCTGTGACCCGTGTATGTGTGACATGTCCGTAGCAGTGATAGAGGACGCCTCGAACATCATCATCGAGGAGTCGGCGAGCTGCTCGTCGTCGTCGGCGGCTACGACTACTCTCCAGCAAGTAATCATCGAGGACGCCTCGATGCTCGAGGTCGACGGCTCCTCCTCCTCGATACAGCATCTCTTCGTCCAGCAAGACTCGGCCAGCGCCTCGTCGCTGCAGCAAATAATCTTTCATCGTCGACGACAACCGCGTAGAGAACGACGAGCGCAACAACAACGAGAAGAAAGTTTAGACCAGCTGGAGGAGGAGGAGCAAAGGGATAGCGAGGAAAGAGTCGAGCAGATCGATCGTTGCTCCGAATCGGATCTGCTGATGAAGGAAGTCATGGCGGCCAAGGAGACGCTGAAAAAGTATATAGGCGATCTAGCGAGCGAGCAGATTGGAAAACAGACGACGAGCAAGACCGGTAGTGGCGGCGACGATGATGTAATTAGAGACACCGAACCGACGAGCAAGAAGAGAAAATTCGAAGTGATCGGTGAGATTGGTTCCGGATCGAAGAGCGACTCAACGACGACGACGACGACGCACAAGTGAGTTTGACTGTCAAATATTTACATTCGTATATAAGCAGTGTGTGTATAATATAAACTGCCTATACTGCTACCGTTGCGTCGAGGCGAACGCACACACGTACGAAAAAATAAGTAGCTCAACGCGATGCTGTTCTTTTTTCTTTTCTTTTTTTTTGTATACGTAAATATGTGATACATGTAAAAACGGAGTATTATTACGTACGGGCCTGCAGGATGCGCGCCCGGCTCGAAGCCACGACAGAGAGTGAGAGACACGGTCGAAAAAATAAATAAGAAATGTGTCTAATCAAGCATTCACGGCGCGTAGTCGAGCGGCGGCGGCAGCAGCAGCAGCGGTTTTTTCCGACCTCGATGAGGAAAGTCGACGCGCGAGCGAGAGCGAGGAGGAGAGATTGTGCAACACATGTATAATGCTCCGCCGCCGCCGCTACATTCGTTGATAAGCCCGCCGCGTATTCGTATATAGCCAGCATGTAGCGCACATCTTTCTCTCTCTCTCTCTCTCTGAGCTCGTATTGCATATATGGGTGAATCTCTGTCAACTCGACCGTGGTTAAAGTAGTTTTTTTTTTTCGTGTACTTGAAAAAAGGGCGTTTGTACGATTACATCGTGACCTTCTTAAGACACAATTTTATACCATGGTACAATTATCTTATTGAATGCTTTTAACAGAATATAAAAAGTCCGGGGTAAAAAATATCTTTTGTCCGAACGTAATAATTCGCGAACAATTGAAAACAAAAGCTCGTAGATCCGTCGATTTTGCATCGCTCGGTTTTTAATTGCAAAATGTCATTTAGATCGTTTCCCTGTCTTTTATTTCATTCTATCGTATTATTCGGTGAATCTTTTTTTTTCAGAACGATATCGATTGTATTGGCACATTTTAGCAAACTTTCTTAATCGCATTCAATAGGCTAGGTTCTGTTTTTCAATGTAGTAAAATTTTATTACACGTACGATTTATTTTTATTAACTACATTTTCGTGATTAAAAATTGTTTACTTATATACTACACAATGAACACATCTTACACGCTAACAACAATACTTCAAGATTGTCAATGAAAATATAAATCAATGATTCCTCAACTTCGTAGCCTGAAAAAAAAAAACGATGAAAAGTCTAGAACAATTAGTGAAAACTCGTTTAGAAGGTAAAACAAAACAAAACAAAACAAAAAATACCTTCGACAACTGTGTCTCATGACTCGGCTCTTGTACCTTCTGAGGCAAGCCCCGCCGCCGCCGCGCAAATTTTGTACAAATCCTCGTTCTTCAGATTTTTCAGTATCATGTCGCAGCAGAGATGCGGCAGTCGGTAGTGCGTGAGTTGCATGAAAGGATCCAGCGCCCAATTCAGGAAAGTCTTTCGCGCCATTCTCTCGCACATACGCGGCACGGGATCTCCTTTCGGGCCGAACTTGTACCACATGGTTCCGTTGCGCCGCGCGAACTCGTAGAAGTCCTTCAACTTGAGCGGCTCCTTCGGCTCCACTCCATCTCGCAGCAACGCGAGCATATCGTGGAACGTGAGATTCGGACGCAGGATCATCTTTTTCGAGTTCACCAAGTACTGCTTTTCGTAGTCGTCCAAATAGTCGTATTTGACCTTTGACTTCGTCGGCCTGTCGACGAAACCGTGATCGACGAACATCTTCATGACGGCCGTGGCCTCGGCTCGGTCCAGCTGGTATCCGGCTCCGCGGAGACTCTCGCAGATGCGCAGCAGCGACGACGCGTACAGCAACTTGAGCCCCAGCCCGATGCGCAAGCGGCTCTTACGCAGGAACTCGTCCAGGTGTGCCTCGCTCGGGAAAACGAAGCCGTCGAGATTGGCGCCGCGCGCCAACAGGGCGTCCACCACGTCCGGCTCCAGCCTGTCCACGGCGCACTGCAGCGGGCTGCGACCCCGGCTGTCCCTCGCGTCGACGATCCGCACTTGCCGCTCCAATCCGTCGCAGGTCCCGAAAAACAGATCCACGAGACTCTCGTTGCCCAGGGGACGCTCCTGTCTCGTGTAGATGAGGTGCAGAGCAGTCGCACCGTCGGCGTTGGCCGCATTGGGATCGGCACCGGCTTCCAGCAGCATCCGCAGGATTTTCGGCCGAGCATTGTGGCTGTAGCGCAGACTCGCGAGCAGCGGAGTGTTGCCCGTCGAGCGATGGACGCTATTGGGATCCTGGCCCGCCTCGAGGAATCCCCGAACGACGTCCTCGTAGGCGAACTCGCAGGCCGCGTGCAGATGCGTGTAGCCGTCCTCGTCGACGTAGTTCGCGTCGTACCTGTCGAAGAAGCGCCAGATATAGTGGTCCCAGCGTCCGAGTTTGAAGAGGCGATGTATCGGCGTGGTACGACGCACCACGGGCTTGCCCTGCGCGTCGAGCTCGGGCACGTCCTTGTAGCCGGTCTGTACGACGAATTTGAACACCGCGTCGTAGTCGCGCTCCAGTTTCGAGCACACCAGCTCCTGGAGCAGCCAGTCGATCTGGTCACGGTCCAAGATGTCACGGAGATCGGGAAAGGCGCGTCTCCATCCGACCGTCAACCTGCAGAAATTGAAGAAAAACGCCTTGCGTTGATCCTCGTGTTTCCAGTTCACCTGTTTTCGCGCCATCTTGAGCGCTGCCAATTTTTCTTCGGCCGTCCTGCCGTCGTAGTATTTCAGGTCTTCAGGGTAGATATCATCGTCGTCGTCGTAGTCGTCGTCGTAGTCGTCGTCGTAGTCGTCCAACATTTTTTCACTCGCGGGCTCGCGCGCGCACACTATATCAACACAATTTTTACTCGCTTTTTGCGAGCGAGTCACAGTATTTCGAGGTAGCGATGACGTGCGTCGAGTACGAGCGCAACAACAGAACTGATCGATATGCCTTTTGATCTTATTTCGACCGATGTGTACTCGCGTAGTTTTGGCGCCTCTGCGTGGACGACCGTTGTACGGAAAAAAAGTGAAAGTATGTTTAATCCCGCGTAAATCTGTTCCCGCGCTAAACGTGGAAGCGCGTTGCTTAAAGGACATTTAATACCTTCGATACTATATATTTCAATAAGAATTTCGGTTTAAAAAAAATTTCTTTTCACAGGTAGAGTACTTCGTTAAGCAGGTAGTCTAATTTTATACGTATAATCTCTACTTGCTAATGTGCGCGACCGTAAGACTCTTCTTCTCTTTTGTAATATAAAAAGCAAGATACAAAATCGAGGAGATTATACACGATCGTTTGTAGATATGTACTTGAATCATGCCTCACTTGTTGGCCCAGTTTTTTTTTTTTTTTTTAAGAAGCAAGTCTAGATCAAAAGTTATCATTATGATTGTTATAACGAATTCGTACGCGTATAGGCGCAGCAACCTGGGCGTATATGTGTATACACCCGTGTATACAGTCCAGTACATAGTGACACATCAAAACATTTCTAAGGGTGCAGCTGCGTAGGAGAACGCGCAGATGTATTACATACAAAAGCTGTACCGAGTAATATTCTATACTTCGACGTTGCCCCGCGAAGAGTAACGTACGTTTTTGTGTTTATTTCATTGGAAACGTGCGTTACCCTCCGTAGCGTCGATTTTCGGTTGAAAATGGCGGGAGCGATGGATGGACGGCGGTTTAATCAAAATTTCAGAACATTCTCCATGTACGAAATTTTTTGGTCTGACCGAAGTCAACGGAGAATCGGCCATGTACGCCGTGCGGGTGCGCATTATCGTACACGTATATATACGCACACGACGGCAGAGCCCGTATGTAGTACAATGGAATATATATTCACTCAACCATTGACAACGTATACGGTATAAAGTACACGACATCGTGGCGTTTCGTCACACGCACACAACAGCAGGTTGACGACATTACGGCAAAATATCAGACGCAGCAGAAAAATCACGAGTGTACAGTACCGTACACGTATCATATGATACGACGGCATAGGCTGCAGCATTTATTGCTGAGTAGATTCGCAGTGCACTCCGGCGGCAAATTGGCAGACTCATCGAGACGTATAGGCGCATATCATATCATATAAACGTCAGCTGAGCGGAAAATCGTGCAAATATTTGACAACATTTCTTATATACTCGCGTGCACTTGTCTCTCTCTGCGAAACACAACAACGATCGTGTACGCGCCTTCGAATGAAATCGAAATATATATGGATTGTTCGCGACACCTATGTACAATAATTGAAACGAGAGAGAGCGAGAGTGAGAGTGAGTGAGAGCGCGTTATCGCGTGAAAAAAAAACGCACTCCACTATATACCTATGTATATATAGGCGCGTATGCAAGTACAGGCATTAAAAAAAAATTACACGCTCCTCTATTACGAGCAGAGCGAGCGAATTGCAGCGCACACCGCGAATGACGTTACTTATACTCGGCGGCGGCGCACGACAATTATATTCATGCACGGCGTTATTAACCTTGACTCGGCATACTAGTTGCGAGTGAAATTTTTTTCAAGTATAATATAAACACACATAGAGCACGCGTGCACACGCACACGTGTCCAGGAGGCCTATATATATATGATGCATACCATATTTATAATATAAACACACCTATACATACACGAGCATATGGTCACGTGGATATATATACCGCTACAATTACACCTACGCATGGCGCAGCTGCGAGTCGCGGGGAATCGCTTCGTTACGTTATAACGACAGACCTCGCTCGAGTGCATATTATTATATATTCGATCGCCGAGTTTCTCTCGATCTTCTTCTTTTTGCGTCGATGCAATTTTACTTTTAATAATATCGCGCGTTATGTAGTCGTGAGTTCGGAGCTGCTTCGTTTGCTCATCGCACACACACACACACACAAACATTCATACGTACATGCAGATAAGAGACCTACACACGCGTACACACGCAAACGTACTTCCAGTTGAGCGCGCGAATTGTTTGTTTGGCCCCGTTTTATCTTGGCAGTTATTAACGCACTCGCGCGTCTGCGTGTTCGCGTTTTCCTCGCTCGATCGATCGATTTCCGCATATACCTACCACCCGTTTAAATACACGTATACCGATCGGGGCACCTCCAAGCGGCGCGAGTGCAATTTTTGCCCTCTTTCCGCGAAAGAGAGAAGTTTCGGTCACGTTTTGGTACACATTTTTCATTTTTCAATTTTTTTTTTTTTTTTTTGTTATCAAAACGTGCGCGGTGCGGTGCATGTGGCCCGGCTGCGCGCGTCGTGTTGACGCTATACGACAAAATAATGAGAAAAAAAAAAGAACCGCGAGGAATGAAAAACACGTTACACAAGAGAGAGAGAGAAACCCGTGTACAGCACCGAGCGGAACGAAAGAAGAGAGAGAGAGAGAGAGAAAAAAAACAGCAACAATCATTGAAATCGCAAAGCAAACGTCAATTATATAGCTTACCTCGTAAAAGTCACATAACCGCGCGCGCGTTTAGCATTGAAGGCGCATTTCCTTTTCTTGCGCAAATTCGTATTGTACTCGGTATTATACTTTATTGGAAAAACATTCGTTTTTTCCTTTTTCTTTTTTCATCGAAAGCATAACATTCGAATTTTTGTGTGTTTTCGAATTCAGATCGGAGAAGCGCAGTCGATCGTCGATCGAACATCGGAACAAATCTTCCTCCTCCTCCTCGTCGTCCTCCTCGCGTCAACAACAACAGCACAAGTCCAATGGATCGTCGTCGACGACGGCTGAGTCCAACGACAAATCGTCCTCGTCATCGGCGCCAACGACAAAATCCTGCGAGAAAAACAGCTCCGACGTCGCTGCCAACAACAACGACGAAGACGAGGATAAAGTCGACGGAGGCGGCGGCGACAACGACGAAGTTGCTGCTGCTGCTGCGGCCAAATGCGTCGAGGAGGACGCGACCGAAGTCTCGGACGACAAGATCGACCTGGACAGTGTCAAGGCCAAAGCGCTGAAGCTCGGTCCTGAGATGACCATGTCGAGCATCGTCAAGGAGCTCGTTTTTCACAATAAGGTGAGAGAGAGACAATAAACTTCATTATATTCGGTGACGGAGAGCATCGCAAAGATCGTTCCGAAAGTAATAATCTAATCTGCAATATTCATCGATCGAGCGCGTTGAAAAGCGATTTACTCGTCAAGATAAAATACACAAATATCCTTGTATATTATATTACGCTACGGTAACAAAAAAAAAAAAAAAAAATAGCAGCTCGTTGAATGAGAAATGAGCAGCAGCGCTCCATAGTCTCTCACTCTGTATCTCTGCAGCGTCGCGTATGCTTATTATCATGATAAAAGTAACAAAAAATGTTGCTCTCTCGCTCGCGTATACCTATTGTACACGATACACATATGAATATTATTATATACGGTGCCGTGCATAATTTTGCAGCTAAATGTATTTGTCTCGGGGAGAGCAGCTTTGGCTCAACTTTATCATGCTAATCGCTTACGAGGCCGTGTGTGTGGTGAAAATTATTCCTTCGACCATATACTTTTATGCGCCGCAGCACTTTTTCTTTTGACGAGAAGAGAAGAAAAAAATCGAATGTTGTTGTTGCGCTCACTACTCGTGTGTGTGTGTGTGTGTGTGTGTGCGTGTATAACAATTTAGTCGCGAGGCTAAACCGCACAAATCATATCGCTCTTGGGTTATACTCGGAAACACGCATAGAGAGCGAGAGCAAAAAAAAGCGAGAGTCACACTCGCTATCGTTCGCTTAATTTTTTTTTTTCTTCATTTTTTTTTTATCGATGAGATGATTATTTTCATACGCTTTATATCGACGATAAAAGTAAAAAGCTGTATGTACAAAAAACCAGAGGCACCGAGAGAGCCACTTATCTCTTGTTTACGAAAAATTAACTGCGCGAGTGTCGTATCGGTGATGTATAGGTACACATACACACGAGTTTTTCGGGGGACTGGTAAATGTAGATCAACGCGTAATTGGTGCGTAATTATATTATCGCGAAACGTCGCGCTGGCTTATTAAGTTACACACGCATCCGCGATTTAATTTCTAAAAAAAAAGAGTCACGCGATAAGGCCCTCATCGCACGATGTGACAATTTGTGTAACTTATATAATGATGTATTTTGTGTACAGGCGACGATCAGACATCGGCGTTACTGCGTGCTGTGCGAGCGATGGTTCCCGTCGACCCTGCGCCACCAGCGTCACCTGGCCGGCTATCAGCATCGCCACACCGAGCTGACCCAGCGCCGGGCCATACACATGCTGTTCCTCCTGTTCACGGGCAAGTTGTGCCCGAAGCTGCTGCCGCCCGACGTCGTGCGCACCGATTACCAGCTGATGGAGCCGACCCCGCTGCAGGTCGTCGTACAGGTGAGTACTATATACGATAATAATTACAACCAAAAATATTGTGTATAATTATTCTTATCTTCTCCGCAGGACTTTGCCAGTATTTTTAAAGGCATGTAGCGTTGCCTGCCTGCCGATTGAGCAAAAAAAAAAAAAACCCGACTGAAAATCGTTAAAGGAAGAAGAAGAAAAAAGAAAGAAGACAGTATATCCTAAAGAATAAAACCCTGCGCTGTACCGCACTTGAACCAAAGAAGATTATAGGAAAAAAAAAAGAAGTACATTACATATAATATCGCGCGGAGAAGCGGACGCGACTATCTGCTATAGCATAATATAAATAAATGTCTGTGTGCAAGCCAATCGACGATAAGAAATGTCGGCCGCGTGCGTACGTACGTACGTACCACATATATATATACATAGTGTAATAATAACGATAATGTGTTAGTGTGTGTTAGTGTGTGTATATATATATAAAACTAGGGTAATTTGCGCACCGCGCGCGCGAGAGCTCGAGATAATAATGTGCCTCGTGCGACAGCCTTCGACGTTTATTTGTATAACATAACAATGTTGCTCGTTGCTGCTGCTGCTGCTAAAGGATCATCATCGTCGTCGCGGAGCCGAGGAGCACGAGGCACAAGATCCGTATAGGTATAGCGATGGCACGCGCGGTGTCGCCGCGAGACTGTGTACAGAGGGACCGTAATGCAATTTTTTTGTTTGTTTCTGTTTTCTTGTTTTGATTTTATTCCTTGTTTTTTACGTAAATAAAAATAAATGCACGTGGCCGAGCTTTTTCCCGTCGTTTCGAGATGAGACTTCGACCAGATTAGAATGTAAAAATTGTGTATAACGATAAAGTATGTGTGTGTGCGGGCTCGATTCGGAGAGCGACGACGCCGAATCTCTCGCTCTGGCACACACGTGTAGATAATATGTTATATTATATGAAAAAAAAAAATATATATATATATAGCTACGAATATTGTATAATTGTATATTCCAGATGAATACCAAAATCGTTCCACGCATAACTGTGCCGCATTATATTATATTATACTATATTATATTACATTGTAATAAACTCTACGACTCTTACTCTCGTGTAAATATTTAAATAATATATAATTGTACATGGAGTTTTGTAAGTTTTTGCGCGTTCTCGACTGTCGTAATTGTACGTTTAAGTGTAAGATAACAAACAAAAAAAAAAACGAGTGATATACGGAGAGGTAAGTTTTTTTTTTTTCGACGTACCTTTTTACGTGTGCATGTTGTACTATCAGTGTCAAAAAAAAACAAGTGTACGATTGTGTGAGTATTTGTGACGTATCAAATGAAAAAATACAGTAAAATTGTACACGCAAACATTTTTTTTGTCAGACTTCGAACGATACCCCGTCGAACGAGAGCCTATTTGAATTTTGAGTTGCTGCGCGAAAAATTTAACAGGCAGATGCGAATAGAAAAAAAAATAGCTAAATCGTTCGATCTGAACAACAATTGTTATTAAGTTGTATACATTTATTGTCATCGAAAATGTGAACTGTACACTGGCAGTGCCTTATTATAATGCTTCGTGAAAGTGTTCAAAGAGAAAGTAATCATTTATTTTTGATCTCTTGCGTATTTTGTTAAGTGTAAATATATATAGCGTAAAAAAAACGTATATAGCTTACCGACGTAAACGCTTCGTGTGAAATGGAAAATATAGTCGCGAGAAACGACAAAATATACATTGCCCGTGCATTTTTTCAGACGTTAATTCGTGATGTGTGCAACGAAGTGTAGCTTCTTTTTTTGTAACGATAAAAAAGTTATTCGTGACTATAAGAAGTACGAGGAAAAAAAATGCAAGCAACATTTTTTTTCGTTTAGATATCAAATTGTTTTTGACGAAAGGAATTCCGATGAATGTATTTATCGCACGAGTGCCTTAAAAAAAACACCTAACAGTATTTTTCAAATGTGTTTACGCAAATTTGTGTATTAAATTTTACTAAAAAAAAACGAAATACTTTCACTTGTGCGTTGCAATGTTCGATAAAATATAATATTACTTAAACTGAAAAACTTGCTCAAAATGACTCATTTTTCGAACGATCATATTTCTTACCACTGTTGTATGTATAGCTGATAATAGTAAAATCGACTCTGATTGATAAATTAGACTACATGTATGAAAAATTATCTACATTTTTTGAAAATAACATTTTTAAGTATCGAATGAAATTTCGTGCTAAAACGTTAAAGACCAATGGACAGTGGGTTCAATGTGCCTAATATTTTGTTCGATGAATAAAACAAAACAAATTAGCGCGTGGAAGACGGAAAATGTTGCCTTGACAGTTTTTTTAAATATCAATGAAATGTTTTACTTGTGTGATGACATGAAATAGTTTTTATTCCACGTGTGATTGAATCGAGTTTATTTTAGTACATATCTAATGAAGGAAACCTTTTTACGAGCAGAAGCTCAAAAAATTAATGAAATTATGATAACAAGTATTGAAGATGTGACTTACACTATTTTTGAAAATATGATCAATTCATTCAACGACGAAACAAGGCAAAGTAAATAGATTTTTAGACATAGATTCGACAAATCATTTTCTCAAAAGCGCTACATGCATTGCATTGATTATAAAAACTCTTAACGGCATGATACGCGATAAGGTTTGACTTCCATAATTTTTAGATCGTCTTACTTAGATTTGTCACTTTCGTTTGTGAATTACATCGATTTTGTTCCTTTTACATTTACCTTAAGCACATGTAATACACATATCATAATAATATGCATGGAAAAATTTTGTTAAAGAAAAAAATTTAATCGAACGCGTGGGATACGTGCAAAAAACTCTGTTGCACGAGTTTACAAATATACATGTTAGCATGAAGTGTAATTTATGTAGTTGTGGTAAATGTGTGTTGGTCAAGACGGTATTTTAAGAGAAATAATAAAATCACCCATAATTTTGTTATTTCCCGTGCGCATTCTTGTTCATTATTGTTGGGCTAAACGTGGATTCACGTGCAGTGATAATAATCGCGTGTAATATTTTTCTAAAAAAAAAAAAATCAGTTTTCTCAAATGAACACCGGCGCTGAATTAATTTTAAAAAAAGAATTACGACTTACGGTTAACACTATTTTGCCTGTATAGATTATAAAAAAAAATCAGAGCTGTGAATCCAAATAAAAGTGTAAATGTAATTGTAATTAAATTAACTACTGCACGAAATTGTAATTTTATTTGTAAGTTTAAGTGAATATAGTTTAATTATTATATAATTAACTTTGATACAATTTAAGGCAACAAATTTGTGATGATACACTGTTTTGATTTTTGAACTTAGACACATATAGAATATAAAAAGTTACCAACTGTTTTTATGGTTTTATTCATTTTCCTTCTTCCTATTCTAGTCGTAAAGAGCATAGGAAATTTTAAATAATTTTTAAATATTTGAATCGCCTACGTAAAATGTTTTTCAATACTTACTTCTCATCGAAAATAACATTTCAATGGTTAGAATTAAAAAGCCTATACTTTTTATTTTTTATTATTTCTTTTTTGTCTTTAAAACACCGTATGCCAAGCCTAATTTAATTAATTCTTTTATTTCTCGTGTTTTTTTGCATTTGTTTGAACGTCGCCTTCCATGTATTTAAAGTAAAGGATTCTACTAGAAGTATAAAATAAGGAAATTTTGTGTCATTCTCTCATTATTTACGATTCTGTTTCATACATCTTGGTAAATATGGGATAATTACTTATTGATTATAGAAAGCGTTATTTTTTTAAACAAAATTTGTTCGTATTAGTAACCGTTAATTTCAAAATACTGGTAGAAACCGTTAAAAAAACGACATACCTTATGCGAAGTACTCCATTCATGCAGGTCTCACAAATAAATAAAAATACTGAGCGAATCTTTGACGCTGTCATCTGTCTGTCAGTTGCAGAGACTATTGGTATATGTCGTAGCTTCCAACACAAATATTATCGTTGTAGTAGGTGTATTACGACAGCAAGATGTGTGCATGGTTCGAAAGATTATGAAGTTTAGTGTTTCGTGAATTGTTTATTGCAAGGGATAAAGACTCGGGTCGATGTGATGGCTCCACCACCTGTGGTTACTGGTATTTCGCCCAAGGAAGGGCCACCCGGTACTCGCATCACCATTCGCGGCGAATTCCTTGGAAGTTCGCTGCAGGACCTTATAGGTTAGTCCTTGTATTTTGATTCGTTTCATACTCATTCAAAGTTTATTAAACGTTTATTTAAATCGTATCGTGAATTGAATATTTTTTATTGAGAGTATTCAATCTGGAAAAGTATGAGTATCAGTAACATTAATTTGTCCTTTTCCTCATTTAGGTCTTACAATATGTGGATGTGATTGTATTCTCTTGGCAGAATGGAAATCACCAAACAAAATAATTGCAAGATCTGGTGCATGCAAAGGAAGAGGTGATATAATTGTGACTACACGTAGTGGTGGCCAAGGAACCTCAACTGTGCAGTTCAGAGGTTATCATGAAACAATTGGCCCACTGAAGGAGTCAGCGGTATGGGTCGAAGAGGCCCCTATTCAAAGTTACGTATGGGGTCGCAGAGCATTATCACCTACTAATCAACAAGATGATCTTCTAGGCATTAGTGTTGAAGAAAATGAGTAAGCAATGAGTTATTATAATCAATATAATATTGGTGCTTATGAAATTTCTTATTTTAGAGGGAAAAAATTTCCTGAAGATGAATTATTTGAATTATTTGGTGATGCTAGTAGCGACTTGACTAGTGAGAAGTTTCACCCAGGAATGTTTTTGCTTCAGAACCATCATGCCACTTCGTTTGATGATCTCAAAGCAGGTCTATCGCATTTGCAGCGAAAAGTAAATTCTCAAAAAGAAGGCCAATTATCTTTTTTAAAGGTAGTTTATTATCATTGATTGATATTATAGTTTATTACTTGCTGTGAATGTTGAAACAAAATTTTTTTTTTCAGGCGAATGTTGGTACTGTTATGGAACAATTAGATACGTTGACGCTTTTGAAAGAACAATATGAATCAGACATAGCAAAATATGGCAAAAAACCATTAGAAAAATTAGAAGGTTCTATAAAAAAATCGATGGGAGATGCTAATCAATTATTTAATGAAGTTTTAGCTAGAAGAGAAAGAGCAGATGCAACTAGAAATGCTTTAGCTGTCATGCAAAGGTATAAGTTCTTATTCTGTATGCCTGTAAATATTGAGAAGAATATGAAAAATGGAAACTATGATCTTATTATTAATGACTATGCACGAGTAAAAAATTTATTTAAGAATACTGATGTTGATGTGTTCAAAAAAGTCTTGAGAGAAGTTGACTATAGAATAGAAACTCTCAGAGATGTGTTAAAGAAAAAATTAGAAGAAGTTCCGTTCACGTTAGAAGATCAAAAAAAAATTATAAGACATCTTATCAACTTAGAGACTGATGGAGATCCTGCTTGGGATGCAATAGGTTGGTTTTTAATTATGACTTATTTGGAAAATCATTCATACATAAAAAGTTTTTAATTGTTTTTATTATGTGTATTATAGCATCTCATGCCAATTATTTAAAAAAAAGTATAGAGGCCTGTACCAATGAATACCTTGGAACAGAAAATAAAGAAGATGGTGGCAAAGAAGTATATATAAAAACTGATTCATCGACTCCTCTGTCTGTCAGACAATTTAAATTAACAAAAACAGAAGAAAATAATGCACCTTCTAAAGTTTTGTGCATTGAAGCATTGTGTGATATTGTCATGGAGCAGTTACCAGATTTATGGAGATTAGGGCAATGCTATTTTACTGGTCAGCTCCATGTAACAGTAGATACAGAAAAACAAGAACCATTCAAAGTTAGTTGCATGATATAGAATATTAAATTTATCAATTTTTGTTTTACTCAAACTCACATAATTTTATAGAATCTAGTTTTGTCAAACATCAGACTGGCTGTAAATTCTATGAAGGCTACTTGCGATGCTTCTCTGACAGCTCCATGGCTTTTACATAATCTGAAATGCATACGTCATTTGTATGCAGCTCTTATTCATTTAGATTTACCAAGTGACGCGTTAGACATATTTGGAAAATTCATATTTGACTTGAGGTAAATAATTTATTCTGATGTAATTAACAGCTATGTAATTGTTTATCTTTTTTTATCAGATCTCAATGCCTTGTTGGAATTCTTAAGCAGACTGAAGATAATGTAATGCTTTTAGCCCGTAAAGAGACATGGGAAATTGAATATTTGGACAAAAATGAAGGCGTTACTAAACTGGTTATTATAATTCAAATTAATAATCTTAGAAATAGTTATTGAAATTTAAACAACTAAAATAGTTTTTATTTTTATAGCCTTCTCAATTTGAGCAAATGGTTGTTGAATCAGCTAAGCTTGCTCGTGAAACAGCAGTGGAGCGTGGTCCTAGAGAAACAGCTCTTTTTGATGAAGCCGCTCAGCGGTTACTATTTCATGAAGCTATCAAAAAATTATTCCGTGCTTTCACATGTTGCCTTCGAGAATTGGCATTCAGTGGCAGTGACGATGTTATTGACGATGAAATTACAACTGTTTCACATCTAACTGGTTCACCGTCACCTTACAGAATCAGAGATAGCAAACTTCATGGCCCAGTAAGTCTCAAATAAAACTAAATAATAAATGATTTAAAATTTATGACTTGATAACAATTTTTCAGACCGCAGAAGAGTGCCTTCTAATATCTTTAAGCAACATTCATTATACACTCAAAGTGATTCTTCCACAATTGACAGAAAATTTGAAAGCACAAGAATATCCCGACCTTACAACAGCTATTGGCTTTAACACAGATTGGACTCAATTAGAATCATTAGATAAAGCAGTATTAGAAGCTTACTTAGAAAGGCGAAGTGATCCATTGATAGGTACGATCGAGCCCAGTATGTATGTGGGTGATTTGGACTGGGACTCGGATTTGCCGGCACGCTGTGTAAAGCCTTATACTCAAGAAATAGTTGCTAATGTTATTACAGTTCATGCTGAGGTATTTTTACATAATATGGCCTAAGCCGTTTAATAAATTACATATTGACGCTCTACAACATTTGATTTGTACATTGCAGGTTTGTCGTATTTCTCCTCGCTTATTGAAGAGAGTACTTTCTCATATTGTTGAAAATATCGCCGAAGAAGTGTCTAGAGTATTTTCTTGTGTCAAATCATTCAGCCACGAAGGAGTTGTACAAGGTCGCACAGACATTCTTTTCTTAAGAAAAGCTCTGGAAAGTTTTAGTTCTCATAGAGCCAAGTGAGTATGAGCGTGCGTTTATCGTTGCAATAACTTTTTTCATCAAGTTGCTGAAAATGACCCACTTAAATTACGCATTTCAGATGTTTCTTTGACGAAGCTTTGAATTCGATACCAAAAATAACAAGAAAAGACGATATCGAAAAAATTGACATACTTTTAACCAAAGTGTATTCTAGAATGCGCCTGCAACTGTCATGTCTTAAGGATTCAGTAGATAGTCGCGTTGATGTTGAAAATTTGAATATGACTCGTTTAACGATTGTATAGTTTTATGTATATATTGAAGCATATGTGGAACTTTGTAAACTTTCCAAGTGTACGATGGTGTAAAATTATCCAAAAAAGGAACCAATATTAAAATATAGTTATATTATATTTATACACATTTATAAGTACATAATTTCGTTCAATACATATAAGATTATTTACGTCTAATTTTTATTCGCAGCTTCAGCATCTATTATCAATATTTAACTGAAGCTTTAGAATACATTCAAAAATGTACAAATATTTATTTACAAATTAATTTGACGCACGAGACGAGAAAAGTACGATTTGCAGTCAAACTCCAAATCGAAAGCCTAGGATATTATTTAGTTCAACTATGAAAAGTAGATTGTTTCATGTGCACATGAACTCGCTTCCAGCGAAGAGTGTACGTTGTTTCAATTCTTTGCAACGACAATTCGGATGCTGGGCACCGTATTTCAGTTTGACGAAGAGTGAAAGGACATCCATCGGATCAACTGCATCGAGAAGTATTTACAATTCCGTCTCGAATTAGTAAGTAACATTTTCAGAAATTAAATCCGGGATATCCCAACTGTTTGTCGCACGTGAATATACAAAAGCATCTCGTTGTGCGTCGCAAAATGTGAAATTTCCTGCTCTTCGATAAGCTCATTCTAAAACAACCTATTTTATATTTTACAGATAATATTTAATATCGCAGCTTTTGCACAGCGCACTTTGGCTAGTTTTTCGTCTCGGGCGTCGAATTATACTTAACAGAAATTAAATTAGGTCACAATTGTAAAATTGTTAAAGGTAGTATGAGGCTCTTGGCACTGAGCTATCGTTATCAACGAAATAGGCCGATTTATTATCCTCTCTTTTAATTTCACCGGTAGATCCATCCATGTGCACCCCATCGCCTGGAAAGTAAAGTTTTGATGAAAAAAAAAACAACTCAATTGAACAGATCAATTAAAATCGATCGAGCCTTACCCGTTTTGAAGATTCTCGTCGCATTGGGAACGCCCATGATGCAGGGCACACCGTAATCTCGCGCCGTCGCGGCGCCGTGACTGAAGAGGCTGCCCCGCTCCGTGATAATTCCTCCGATCATGGGGAAGTACTGACTCCAGCCGGCGTCGATGTACGGCACGACGAGTATGTCCCAGGGCTGCAAGCGTCCCTGCAGCTCGTCGTCGAATCTCTCGGCGACGAAGACTCGATTGCACACGACGCCGGCGCACACGGGCACTCCCCGAGTCGCGTAGTCGGCCGCGTACACCTCGTCACCGAGCTGGTCGTCGTCGTCGTTGGTCCCGATGACCCGAGGCACGCCGCGATTCACCGGCCGATACCTCGCCTCGTCCAGCCGGGGCCAGAGTTCGCGTCTGCGCAGGGCCTTCTTGATCAGTCCGGGCGAGCAGGGCGCGTCCACCAGTTGCGCCACCTCCCATCGCGTCAGGTAGTAGATGAGTTTCTCGTCGGGCAATTTGCCCTCGTTCACGAGCTCGATGGCTTTCTGCGCGTACAGGCCTCGGACTTTGTTCACGGCTTTGCTGAGCAGGCACCTCGCCCACTCACGCATCACGAGGCTGTGCCGAGCCGCCGGCAGCAGCCTGGCGATACGTTTGCGAGTCTTGCGACTTATCGGCGACGCGATTTTCTTGACCAGCTCCTGCACGTCTGACTGGTCGAATGCCCCTATAACTTCATGGCGGTTCTTATATTCCACGTAAAGTTGGGTAGGCGGTATCGATTCTATTATCGATTTTCGGATCTCCATTAATTCGCCTTTGGGATTTTTGAGCCACGGATGTAGGTACTGCAGGCGAATAGGAAATTTTCACAATTACTCGATTCTAATATGGCCGAAACGAAAAATCGTGCATGTTCTTACCTGAAGCAACTTGTAAATTCGTTCCGGCTTCGTTACATGAGGCTCCGATTCCAATTCAAACTCGTTAGGGCCAAGATTTTCGTAATGGTCGGTAAAATGCCCCATTTCCGAGAACGCGTAGTCGCCCCCGTATTTTCGTAACCACTGGTCAATTTCCGAAACATCCGCGTCCTCTAATTTTGGTCGGCTTATCTTGCGTTGGTGATCCATGAAAAGATATCCGTTGCGGATTTCCGCGTTCATTTCGAGCACGAGCCTGGGCACCTTTTGACTGATGCTGTACTTGTTGGTCAGCAGGTGCGACATGTCCGCGAAGTTCTGGGCCGTGAACTCCGCCGCGTCGCCCCTCAGAAGCGACATAATTTCCAATTGTCGCGAGACGCAGGCCCGCGAGATGTAGCCGTAACGCCGCGAGGCTAACCTAAGCACGACCAAATGCTTTTCCAGTTCGACCGTCATTTTGGCGCCTTTCAGGCCCGACTGGCCCGAATTGTGTTCATCTACTACACTTTTCATCTCCAGGACCTTTCTTTTGCATCTCTTATCGACTTTCCGTTTCGCGTACTCTTTCTTGCCGAGCACGAGCTTTTTAAATTTCATGCGACGGATGGAGCGATCGAATCTGCTGAAGCGATCGTGGACGCGATCGACGAAGCCGAGGCGATGATCGTCGCCGACGTCATTCCGCTTTCTCCAAGCCTCGTGTATTTCCCGATCGTAGATCGGACGCCCGAACAGGCCGAAATCTCTGAGAACCATGTCTTCGTGTCTCGTTTTCTCGCAGTTGCGCATCGCGAGCTTGAGAAGGAGAGAAAGAAAAAACAATAGTTAAAAATTGGGAATTTCGTAATTAGCCGCTCGAATATTAGCCGCTTACATGATGATAATTGAAAGCGACTCTCATGTTGGCGATGAATATCGGACTCTGCCTGTCGGGTTTTTCGTCGTCGTCGTCTTCATCGTCATCTTCGTCGTCGTCGTCGTCGAGGGCAAAAGTCGAGGGATCGAGATTGTCGAGGATGGTGGTGCAGGTGAGCGGCGTCACGACCCGCGGGAACAGCTCGTCGGCCTGCGCGAAGGTCAGCGTGTCGGCTTGGCCGGTGAAGCCCGAGCCGAGCTCGTGGGTGAGCTCGTAATCCGTCCAGGCGCTGTCGCGCGCCGCCGGACGGCACTGCAGCACGTAAAACTTGTCGCCCGGCAATCCGGTCCAGGCCCACTCGAGGTCGCGCGCCGAGTCGTACACCTTGTCGATCTCCCGGCCGATCGCGGCTAGTCTCAACGCGACCGGCTCGGTAATCGACAACTTTTCGCGTTGCTCCTGCTCGACGCAGTGCTGCTTGCCGCAGTGATCGACTCTCATGTCCTTGTCGCCGATCCAGGCGCTGATTATCTTCAACTCGCCGCGATCGTCGTTGGAGCGACGCACGACGAATCGGTCGCCCTCGACGTGGCCCTCGCTCACCCCGACGCCCACGCCGTAGCTGGCCAGGACGTGGATCTCGCGCGGGTCGCCTGTGAGGGGGTGCCTGGTGTGCACCAGGCCCGCGGCGTGGCTCTCGACCATGCGCTGGACCAGCACCGCCACGGGACTCTTGAGGGGCAGGCCGCTGCGATGCCGATGCTCGACGCTCTCGCGCTTGAACGCCGAGGCCCAGATCTTGATCACGCCCGAGACCACTTTAGGAAAGCCGATGTACGAGTCGTACTTGCCCTGCGCCAGCGTCTCCTCCGGGTCCGCGAAGTACGGGCTGGATCGCACGGCCCACAATCGATTGAACATTGGATCGCGCGACGCTTCGTCCAATTTCTCGCCTATCATGCGTTCCACGTCCGGCGGCAATCTGGACTTCTTGAAGCGCTCGTCGATTCTGAACGAAAAAAAAAAAAAAAAAAAAAAAAAATTATGAACCNGAATCGATCTCGTAATAACGATTCGCGCGCGCGAACGTACTTTGCCAAACACGCGGCTATGTCGGGCGCCACATTCTTTCTCTGCCAATCTATCGGCTCCTGGCCGACGCGCGGCGGCGCCCGAGTCTTGTAGCACTTGATCAAATCGTCGATGGCGGCCGCAAGGGCCCGATTGTGCTCCAGAAAGGCCTCGAAGGCGAGGGTCGTCACGCAGAAGCCCGAGGGCACCTCGAACTCGAGCGTGGCGAAGGAGGGCGCGGTGTGCGGGCCGATCGTTTTCTGGGCCGGCGCGCTCGTCCACAACGCCACCTTGTCCCGCAGATCGCCGAGCGCGGCGACTTTCAGTCCGCACAAGCTCGCGTCTCTGGTGAACGGATTCGCGAGGTCCAGCACCAGCGCCAGGCTCTTCTTTGTCTCTTCCTCGTTCTCCGCCGCAGGTACGGGCTTCTTCGCGACTGGCGGTGGAACGATGGGCGGCGGTAATTTGCTTAGTTCTATTAGATCGTTGAGAGTGGTTGATTCGAGCAATCCCAGCGAGCACTTTGAGTCGTTCAGATGAATTTCGCAGTCCCAATACGTCGTACGATAATACTTGGGATACGATCCGAATGTGCTTCTCTTCGTGGTTGTAAGCAACTTGACTTCCAATACATCAATTTGGGAAATTTTAATACCGCGTCTGAGTCTTTCAGCTGAATAAAAAAAAAGATGTATATTTGGTTAAAATCGGATTCAAAAGTTACTCACGATTGGTATTCGGTAACGAACATTTTAATGGTATTACAAAACCATAGAAGTCTTTTGCATCTCTTTCGTTCCTGTGTATATATCCTAAGATACTTCTGAAAATCCAAATTGAATCGATATTCGTTTATTGATTTTGAATTAATATCCCGACGATGAAAAAATGAAACGTCGTCGACTTACGCTGGCAGCTTCTCTGGCACGACGTAACGGCAAAAACTACTATGAGACTCTTCGGCGACCCTCAAAGTCAGTTTCCCTTGTTTTGGATCGATTATTTCGGGGCCAAGGACCAGTTGACGCATTCCTCTGAGTTCGAACGTCCTGTCCGGTAAACTTTCGGGCGTGATCCTACCCCACATCAATCCCCACTGATCGATTCGGCCTTTCGACATACGCGGATCCCACGCGTCTTCACTGCCCACAAAAGGTTCCGAGCAAGCGGTGAACCTGTAAATTTTTCCCGATGAAAAAAAAAAAGGTCGATCGCAAAAGATTCGAGCAAAATCGAACTGATCGCTCCGAACTCACTGGATCACGAATCGCACGTGCTCGAGCTCGTCTACGCGAACCGTCTCAGCGTTGTACGCCGCACGGTTGCCTCTTTTCAAGAGACCATTGAAACGTATTCGAACCCTTTTGTCCGCCTCGGTGACCTCGAAACTCAATCCCCGCGCGGACCAGGCGTCTTGGGTCTGTAGGATCGGAGCGAACGGTCCGTCATCCAATTCGTAAGTTTTCGTTCCGTCGTCGAAGCTCACGAACATTGTCATTTGCGAGTAGCTATTCATAATACGTGTGTATTTCACGTAAAAGTAATCGCCGACGCGCTCCGGATTCGCCGCGTAGTAACAGAAGGTTTTCGCCTCCTGCGGGGAAAGATTTTTTTTTTTCAAATTTTTAAAATTATGTAGCTCGAATGATGATTCGTTTTCGCAGAGGCGCGATGTTATATTCTTACGCAATCTCCATTGTAACCGTCGATGGTCGGTTTATCGCTCATGGTCAATTCAATGGTCAATCTCGACAGGGACTTTGATTTTTGGACTGCCACGGAACTGATACGGCTGGCTACCCTGCATCGAACGAATTAAAAATTTATCATATTAGCATAAGGCGCGATTATTCAGAATGAAAATATTACCGATGCGAGCCAAAATCCGCGTATCGTTCAAAGTAATCTTGGCTGAATTGAAATTTTATTTGCTTTATGGGTTAATTAATAAAAAAAAAGTACTTGTATTATTACCTCGGGGGTATGGATGTCGACTACCGGTGAACGTTGAAGTGACACTGACGGAGCAGGCAAGATTTGAACTAATAAATCGTTACATTTGATCGGTACGATGTTTGTCAACACACACATTTGTACGAGTTTCGGGTAGTGGTACAACTTTGTTATGAAATGCCTCGTACTAAAGACGATAGACACATCTCCTCGCCAATTTGACGCTTGACTGTGTCAATTAAACATTATTATTATTTAAATTGTAATATATAAAAATTTTCCTCGAGCGTTTGATCGACTTTATGATATGTGCCATACTGCTTGAGTTGAGTCGCTGTACAAGTAATAGCTACACGAGATTGTTTACGAAAAATGAATTTGTAAACATTTGAAAGCGTCGGAACGAAGCAGCTTCGAAACTCGGATGTTTTTTGCCAACAGCAACATTTCAATATTGGTCAAGATAGAATTTTCACAACGTAGCTACAACTACCAATTTTTCCTTAATTTTTCAATGCCATTTTGCTAGATCTAGATGAAATTCATAACCCAAGTTGTAAAATTTATGATACGAATGAATCCCTGCCGCAATCGTACCGATGTCTTCTGCTCTGCATACTGCAAGAGCTTTTTCGGTAGGAGCGAGCTTTTTTGCCTCAAAATCTAAATATAAATATTTAGCCTCGGGCGCGGGCGTCAACGCGACCTTATCAGCGAATTCACACATACGTAGATAAACATAGACGCGGGAGGAAAACGAACGGTTAACCAATCCACGCGAACAATGTGGACACCTCGACGCAAGTTCAACGCTCTCTCGGGAGTCGCATCGCGCGCGTATACATTATATTATACAAAGCTCCATGGAACGCGGGTAAATCGCCGCAGCGAGTACGAAGGGAAAATAGCATGTCTCCGCTCTCTGTGCAGAGGCCTATAACGACTCTCTCTCTCTCTCTCTCTCGGGCAGCGCATATTACCCACACACACACACACAAAGGCTACCGTAGAATCGGTATATGGGAAGTGCAGTGCGCGGCGTGCCGGTCACTCGAGCGTCGCGAGCTTAAATAACAAGGTCATCGCCGCCGCCGCCGCGGCTGCGGTCTGTGCGTAATGCACTTCCTCTCAGCTGATTCCGAGGCTTATAATAGCGTGCTTCTCTCTCAGTCCGCCTGTATATAGTACTAGTCGAATCGTTTACGTGTTTCCCCTTTTTTATACATCGGCTTATCACGCGTTTGTGTATACAAGACTTTTTGATTCCGTTGCCGCGTCTCTTCTTCTTCTTCTTTTCGCTCTGTCCTGTGCGCAGCAGCTGATGGAGCTCGCGATGCACCTACATTCAAGTACAGTATGTGTGTGTGTGTGTGTGTGTGTGTGTACAGGTACAGCTGCTCCGTATACAAAGGTACTCTACCTGTATACCTATATTCATAAACTCTCGCTCGAGTCACGAGTCGTGTGCGCCCAGAGTAGGTATATATATACACAGCACACATACTTTTTATACCGTTATAAGGCTGCAGCGAGAGATGCCAAGCGATCCGTTCCGTGAGTCGAGGGACGATCGCGAAGTAGTAAGCCGATCTCCGTAAAGACGCTGTGCGGTATCAGCTGTGCGCGCATTATTATATAGCGACTGTACTGTACGATATCGCGTGGCGTAATCGCGCGCGACGCCCTCGCGTGGCTCTCGATCTAATGCACGTATCTATGCATGCATGTATGTACGAAAATTACGCCGATACATGTGTATGTATGTGTGTACGTGATCGGCGAAAGCTACCCCGCGCGCACGTGATACAGTAACGGAGCTATATTACATATTCGCGGTGGACTCGGGCACGACGGAAAATCGGGTCCGATCTCTCGGATGCGTATCGAATCTGCATACACGCCTCTCTCTCTTTAGAGTAGATTATGCATTCATCCGTGGACGATTTATGTATGCTTGCCGTGGCTAGAGAGGAGGAGGAAGAAAAAATTAGATCCTGCGCAAGAGAGTACACGAGAAACGGTATCGAGAGAACGCGAATACTATACGCGTGGCCAAGTTACGATTCGGGAAATTCGTTCAAGTCCCCCCTTGCATACTACGAGGCATTATAATACGATTTCAAGGAGAATCCGACGGTTGAATTATGACGGACGAGCTATCTATGGAAAGTCGCGCATTTCTGGGCCCGGCGCACACACGATCGTTAGGTTGAATTACTCGCGCTGACTTGCAGAAGAGAGCGAAAGAAACAATGACGCGCGAATCCATCAGCGGCAGAGAGGACGACTTTCTTCGCTATATATATATAGGTACAAGTGCACCTCGTACGAATCGACTTCCCACGCGTATACTATATATTATTATACACGGCCGAGGCTTCCGGCTCTCGACTCGTATACATATACAGCACGTACAGTCAGTCACGGGCGCAATTCGAATCGGCATGAAGATGCCTCTCGTTATTACCCGGCATAAACGAGCGAATCTTCGTGCACGCAGTCCACGCACTGCAGCAGCTCTGCAGCGCGCAGCTTTCAAAGACGCGTCTCGCTCGATCCGTATCTAAATGGAGCGTGTGCAGATCTTCGCGTCGGGGATCGCGTGTGGTACACTGGTGTACGTGTAGGTGTATACCGCGCACGTCTCTGACGTTTCGAGCGGCTTATAAACGTATGTACACGAGTATATCAGCGCCGCGTGTATTCGTTAATTATGAAAAAAAAGAGAGAAAGAAAGAAAGAAAGAAAGAAACGGGTAATTTGTTCGTTCGCACGACCGTGTACAGATATATCTGTAATCTGCGATCTCGCTTATATACTCTCGAGCCGATACTGTATACGACGTGTATACATGCATATACGAAGAAGAGCTGGAGCTATAAGGCTCGCGTAGGAGTGTACGGAATCGCGCGCGATGTGCCACTCCATCCGCGGAATATACCGATCTTTGAGACGGATCGGCAACTATATAATCAATCGATAATCGGACGTAAGTGTGCAGCTAACGCCTCCGAAGTTTCAAGGTGTATACGTACAGTCGTGGGCCCGATTCTGCAGATGTATACGACGTTTCGCGAGCTCGGTAAACAAACAATTACACATGAGCAAACTGCTGCAATACAAGCGGCGAATCGAACTTGGAATCCGATCGCGCTCGAGCGTGTACAACACACGATAGGAAGCTCACGCAGGCAGGTATATAGGAGGAGGAGGAGGAGAAGCGACAGCAGCAAAAGGGGAATCGCGAAACAACGAATAGTTTTCGAGCCAGCTGTAGTTATATAGTGGTAAAGGTGTATATATACGTTTTATACGTGTGCTGCAGTACTCGGCAGCAGCGGAGCATGTATGTATATATATAAAGGCACCCACCATCATCATCGGTATATACAACAGTACAACACACGGGCGGTTGTAAAAGTGCTTTAACCGCCGCGGGGACGACTCTCGCGCGTATACAGCAGTCTCGCGTGCGACGCGCAGCCGTGCAGCAGTGTTGTGTACATACTTGCCGCTCTAAAACTCGGTTTCGCACCTACATATACATATATAACTAATCGAACGCACCTGTCGCGCGATTATATTGTATTATTACGAGCCCGCGCCGCCTGCCGTCTATATGTAATATATAATGTGCCGCCGACTCCTTGTGCTCGCTCAGTGATAAATATACACGAGTATCTCTTTTTTTTTTTTGGTCAAGTGAAGTTTCGCAGCGTCGCAGGAACCGGAGGACATTTCATTTCTCGTTATTTCCAAGTGAAAAAAAAAGAAATACCATGAAGAGCGACATAGCCCAGGTGAGAGACACCGTATTATAATAATAGTTTCGCTTTGGCGTTTCGATAATAATACGAAAAGATACATAATATATAGACAAGATTGACACCGCGCGCGAGATCGTCGCGCTGACGATTATTTTCGATTGCTTTCACATGCCGACGACGACGACGACGCACTCGTGTATCGTCATTGTTTACCTATGTAATTACCATATAACTGATAAGAGCTGGAGCAGCGCGACTCGTCGGTAGATTGTCTTTCGTGGGATTATTCGACTCGCGCGAAACTATATTTACTTCAAGTCGATTCTCGATTCGTACGGCCCGCGTGCGGGATACCTATATGTATATATGTATGTAATATTTCATCGACCTCGCGGCGCGCTTACGAGTGTGACTGGGCGAAATAAAATTTCGTTTGACAAATCATTCGTTGGGTTGTTTGCTCGCTTCCTCGCGAGCGTAATTTTTAAAGCACCGAAAGCGTAGGTGGAATTCTTGGGATAGAAGCGCGTAGAATTTTCGCGCCGCGCGCACAACTGATTAAATAATGGAGAAAAGAATCGCGTGAATTTTGTTTATTGAAACTCGAAAAAATGTTCATGAGTAATCGTTGGAACGGTCTGGACAATGCTCGAAAATAACTGCGAAAGAGAGTACACAAAAAACAATTACATCGATGAAAAATTGTTTATCAATCGAGCGTGTATCTAATTGGGTTTTTTAAGCGCGACACGAAATGAGTTTACCGAGTTTTATTTTCAGTTGTTAAAAAAAAGCGCAACAACAAAGAATAATAAAAATGGGAAGCGCTCGTAGATAACGTGAAAAGCTAAATTTTCGATAAAGCATCGCTGCAGGTTCTCGAGAGCGAAACAAAGTGACGTTGATAACGCTTTTATGGATGCAATTAAAAAAGGCATGTACATCGGATACGTAGCTTCCCCCCGAGATTGCGAAAATTCTGCGGAAAATATATAGGTACTACAAACACATGCGCACACACACACGGTTACTCTATTTGCGTGCCGCACAAACGAAGGTTACAATGTGCGTGTATATTTGTCTGCGGCTTTATTGTATATATACTCGCAGCGCAGCGCAGCATAGACCTAGATTCGCACAAATATTAACTGCGCGAGTGCGCACTGATAAAGGAAAAAAAGAGGATAGAGAGAGAGAAAAAAAATAGCTCAAGAACTTTTTAACGGATCGCGCTCGCGCGTATTTATAATGTATGCGCATACATCATATTTTAATACATCGCGCGCGGCGGCGCGTTCGTGAGAAAATTCGTGCGCGCTCCGCTGTACTGTGAAAACTATGGCAGCCAACTATATAGCTAGCTAGTTCTCTCGAAAATTACAATTTACGAATGCGAATTTTTTTCAATGCGTATTTTACTCATACACACCCACGCGCTTAAAATATAACTAGACTAAGAGGCGGTTTTGCGGTTTTTCTAAAGCGATACGTCCTGCATCGAAGTTGCGCAAGATTCGCTTTTATAACGTGTAAAATGTGTCATTCATTAAAACAATTGTACGCGAAGGAGAGGAGGTGTACACGCGATGCCGAGGCTTGAACAAATAAAAACAATGTCGCGGTCGTAAAATTCATTCGCACTCCAATTTTCGAGCATTTTAGTAAGAATAAATAGAACGCAATGGACGCCATGTAGTGGGTAAAAAACAATTTAAATTTATGGCAGAATTAATGTTAAATCAGACATTAAGATTAAAGTAAACAGTATTAAATTTTATTTAAGATACTTTTACATGAAATCTTTGTTAAACATTAATGTATCAGTATTGACTTATTTTTTTTTGTAAAATGCTTAAAACATGCCTGAAAATACAATCACATTCATTCTTTTAATAAAATGTTAACTAAAAGATATAATTCTATGCTTATATGTGAAAACATCCTTTAAAAATTAATGTTTCAATACTTTCGAGACAATTGCTCAAAAACTGTGAAAAAAACTCAATTTTAATTAAGGCCCATCTTGACCGCTAGACGGCGAGTACCTTTGTGTCTGTAAATCTGCAAGTGGCAAGGTCAAAATAATTGTATAAGTCAGAGCTCAATTTTAGAAACTTGCTTCCCTTTTGAGCGTAAATACTTGATACTTCTAAGGCAGATTATTGATATGGTTTTTTCAAAAAATATTTATTTTTTCCATAATCTTAAAATAATATTAACAATGTACATAAATTCAAAAACTAGCCACAGCAAGGCTAAAGCAAATATATGTACATTAACAATTACGGCTAGTGGTAACATGGGCGCCTACACTATCTACAAAAATTTTGTACATTGCTTCAAGTCGTGCTGAGCACGCAAACACCATCATAATAAAAACATGTATAAAAACTGAAAAAAACTGAAACTTGGTTCTGCTTTTAATTAGTGTGTTCGGGCATTAATTTGAATGCTAAAACATGAAATTGAATTGATCTACCTATCAGAAAAAAATATCCGTCACCGGTACAGTTACAAATGGCTCTTTATTTATACAAAAATGTTTGGGGCATACAATGTACTTTTGCCATATATAACAATAAAATACCCGCTTATAAGCGTCTGCACGCCGAACGTGACGACTCTCGATCTCGAGGAAAAATGAACATTTAGTATATATGCAAACGCGCGCGCGATAAAAGGCTTTTAGCGCGCTTATTGTACACGGCTTGACTCTGTGAACAAAATATTTGTTGTCTTCTTTTTTTTTTTCATTCTCTTCTTACGAACGCACACTCGCGACTCGTTTTCACATTACGCGCGTACGTATATCGGCCCGTGGCAAGTACATACGATTTCCCAAATCGAGCCGTTATTTATCCGCGTTAAACGAAGTCTCTCGTGTACGTATACACTGCCGATTCTCGAATACGCACATACACACACGAACACGCTGTATAGCGGCGGTGCATTCGTGGGACTCGTCGGCATTTCCGGCGCAGGGAGAACACACACACATATACACGCACATATAATAATGCCCTCGCGCAGTTAGAGTAAGCCGAAGAAAGTTCGCTGCTGCTGCGTGCAGCATGTATACGTAGGCATGATTTTGACGTCGCGCGGCGCGATTAATTAGGTATCTTGGGAATGCAGCCTCGCTGAGCCGCGCACAAGTGGAGCTATATACGCTTTACGCGTATATAAGCTGGCGCCGCGTTTTTCGAAAGGGAGAGTGTTTAAAATCGAATTAGAGAAACTCGAGAGAGCGAGTTTTTTGTTCTCGTCGCTGCGTTGCTGCATTGTGGTTGTTTTTGTTTTTTTTTGCTGTTGTTGCGCGACGTAACATCGAAAACGAAATTGCGTTACTTAAAAATTTTAGCCTGTCTGTGCTGCAATTATTGCAGTAAGTCTCGATAATATACAGATCATGTACGCATCCATCCCGTATAATCAGAGCTCGCCTGATTTCGCTCGTGCGCATACGTCGGTATATTACATTTTCCGGTTAATTATCGGTAACTCGAGGAAATCGATTGCGAATCGTTCTACAGCTGTCCGAAGTATAATTCGAGCGAACGTATATGCACGTGACATGTGACTGATCGTTTTTTTTTTTCATTCGAAAGCCCAAATCGCAAAATGAATCTTGATCAAGTGCGACATGAAGTTGATGCTGCTGAACGCGGGCACACTCGAGCACTTTTCGAGTTTGAGCGACAGCAATTAGGGAAATCATTCGGCCGTATCGGCGTCGATAAATCGTCGGCCGCGTCTCATCGACGCGTATAAAATGTAATAAGCAAACTGATATTTCTCAGGCAGCCGTGGGTTAATTTCTTTTCCCATCTGGCAGCGGTGAAAAGTCGAATGCGAGCGCAATTTGCACGCGGCCACCGACGTGTGCGTAATGGGGTCTGTGCGTTTTCAAAAGTCATAAAAAATGCCCCCAACAGCAGCAGCAGCAGTCGCGGGACTCTCGCGTTAAGTTAATTTATCGCGAGATCGTACCCAGTTGCGCATTTATAAGAGTCTCGAGTGCACGAATTTTTTTTCGCGACTCGCATGTGTGTGTGTACATAGACGCGCACGTATGGCGGGATGATTTTCGCGCGCGACGTGTTCTCGCGGACGATCGCGAGTTTCTCCCCATGCAGATGCTCGCGAGAAAGCAGTTAATACGTCGTGAAAATGCGTGCGTGAAAATTAACATCGATCCAAGCCACGATTTCGTATATATGTATAGCCACAGAATATATTTTACGTTTTGCATTTAAATATTTTTGTAGCTCTCGTGTATTATATATATATACGTGCTGGTGTGCGCGTTTGGAAGCTACACACATAACTATACTACACGAGCGTACATATAAATGCAGGAGTTTTCAACGAGATGCACTCGCGAGAGCCATAACTTGGCTTCTTCTTCTTCTTTTCCCTCCTATTGTATATTGTTCCTGCGTATTTTTTTTTTGCCTTCAAGTTCGCCGCGCACGCGTATATATGGTATTTATTATATGGTATTTATTATACGGAATCTTGGCGCGCTGCCGTTTCTGATGAGAGAATAGGTATGTACGCCCGGCGATCCTCGAGCGCTACGTATGAGTACCTACACAAGCGCACGAAGCAGCGAGTTTATAATGCTAATTCTGGTGTAATAATAGTCTCGTGGTTAGATCACGTAGTATCCCTAGACACCAGAAGTTACCTTTTGATCGAATTTATTCAGATGTTTTTTAAATATTTTTAATGCTTTTAAATTAATCTGCTAAGACTTTGTAATTTCTTTGTAGTTAATGTTAAAATTCTAAAAGTTGTACTATGCCAGCAGCTCATTGATTACAAAAATGTGTATTGTAACAAAATTTATCGTAGTCAAAGGTGTTGAGTTTGATCGCGAGCTTTTCGATGTCATCGACAGATGGAGCATCGTAAACTTGCAAGTGGCAAAAAAATTTTCGATTAGTATATAAAGCAAATTTTATGACCTTCATTCGGGATTATTATTATTTTATTGAAAGCATAGTTTCGCGCGAAGCCACCTGAATCGG